ATATCGATATCCATGATATCCTACGGATTCCGTGCGTGGAAAAAAATTGGTAAAATTCACGTAAGTTCAACAGGAAGAGCGCCTTGGGTTGCATCCGTTTTGATCGTCGGGAAAGCACCACTTGAAACCCCAAGGAATGAATGGGTTTAGATTAGATGATCCCAGACTACGATGCGAAGGTTGGAACATGTTGGAACTATATGGTCAGTGAAACCTACTTAATCAACGTTTAATCAATGGCCATTTCAGGATCCTAGATTGGAGGTACCTACCATATATAAGGCCTATGTAAGGCCCATGTAAGGGAATATCCCCACAAAATATGGCCTTATATGGTACAGTACCTCCATTTTAGGATCCTGGATTTCCCATTGATTTAATCCACTTGGTAGAGAATGGGAAATGACAATCAATTAACATTAGAAGGTTCTTCTGATAATTTCATTGGCATTCCCAGAGCATCAGTTTCGCAGACAAAATGTATCTAGATGTACCCTCTGGTAAACTAACATAGCTATTGAAAATGGCCCATTTTTATAGTTGATTTACCCATTAAAAATGGTGATTTCCCATAGTGATGTAAACGTTTACCAGAGGGTATCTCATGCTGGGGCCATATCCAGGATTCCGGTGGAAACCAGATGCGCTAAATGTTGAGGGTATGCGAGGACGAATCAGCAGCTCATCACCAAGAAGTTCAACGACACAACAGCAATCTCCAAACGCATCAGCACGTCAAGACAAGAAGCAGCATGTATGTACCGGTATGTACTAGTAACATGTGTTCCTATGGGTTTGTCTGCAAAAAGGGTTCCTATGTGCACCCCCAACTTCAAGGGATTATAATCACATTCCCGGCATTCCCCATTTAAAAATGGCCCATTCTTGGGCATCCCCCCATTTTCGGAACAATGACATACGCAAAATCAGCTTCTCGGTATACCCTCTGGTAAACTAACATACTGTAGCCATGGAAAATCACCATTTTTAATGGGAAAACTCACTATAAATGGCCATTTTCAATAGCTATGTTAAATTACCAGAGGGTATCCCACTTCCCACTTCGTGTCTTGGCATGTCGTGACGAAAAACCAACCCCAAGGCACCATGAAAATTTCCTCCCGTCCACCTCGTTACTTGGAAGCTCCTCTTCATCAACCTCCGCAGGCACCAAACATCCTGGGCGACGAAAGTGCCTTGGTTTACCCTCTGGTCAATGGCCATTTCAGGAACCGATTTATTGGAGGTACCTACCATATATAAGGCCTATGTAAGGGCTATGCAAGGGAATATCCCCACAAAATATGGCCTTAATTGACCTTATATGGTACAGTACCTCCATTTTAGGATCCTGGAATTGCCATTGATCTGGTAATCCAATGTCTAACATGTCATAGCTATAGAATACGCTATTTCGTTCGATGATGTCTCTATTCTAAATGATGGTGTGCCATATAGCTACTGTAAATTACCGGAGAGTATGGGAACTGTTCTACGAAACCCAATTTCTTTCAAACCGTATTCAATGCCCCATTGTCCAGCAAACACATTATCCCAGGGGATGGGTCCACCCGACTCCTTCAGTTCAGATCTAGCAGGTGCTCATTGATGGTGATCATTCCCATTGGAAGGCCAGATTTTACAACTTCGTTGGGCCACTTGACTGGGTGGATTTACCAATGATGGCGCTTCCTGCTTTGCAAAGGCGTAAAGCGAATCCGGCAATCTATCCACTGTAATCTAGTTAAAGCGTGTCTTGGCTAATCCACACTCAAATCTATATACCCTCTGGTAAACTAACATAGCTATGGAAAATGGACCATTTATAGATAGTTGACCTATTAAAAAATTATGATTTTCCATCATTATGTTAGTTTACCAGAGGGTAATCTGTTTCTCTACATCGGATTGCAGGGGTTTGTCTGAAAAAATATCGCTGGCATCCCATGGCTTATCATCATTTTTGTCCGGAAAAAAAAAAAAACTGCCATTTGGGGATATTTTGGGGGGGCATACGCCATGACAAAAACCCCAAGCCCCCCAACGACTCCACCAAGGGGCCGTTCTCTTCGCTAAAGATCTGGCCGTCCTCACGAAGAGTCCAAACTTGACCTTGCTGGGTGGCTGGATGCCAGCCATAGCGTGGCGATTTGATTTCTCCATAGTTTTCCTTGAATCTTAACAATTCTTAACATAGATTTATGACTATTCTGGTAAGATTTAACGACTACTATGATTAATGTTAATAATCATGATAGTCATCGATTTGTCCATGATTTGTCCATGATTTGTCCATGATTTGTCCCATTCAGGATGGCCGTAGCTCAACCATGCTGCCCTACGCTCCTTGGCTTCATCCTAACCAGTCAGATTGATATGGGTAGCATATATCATATAATTATGTACCTCACCCCCCAAAAAAATACTCGAAATGAGGTAGCTTAGTGCCGCCAACAATCACTGAGTAGCCTAGCCGACCCCAAAATTGGCTGGTCCAGTGAAGCTAGGGAAACAGTCACGATAGAATTCGCGGAACACCGCTGGAAGCATTGAGGATTGAGGTGGAGAGTCGCAACCGTCTCCTCCAAGAATCCAACCGGACACAGGAAATCGCCTATCTTCCCTCATTTAGATAAATTCTAATGTTTCACTGGCTATTTGGGGGATGATTCAGTTGATTCTCCTTACTAATTACCATGATTGTCATGATTGTCATGATTGAATTTTTTTTTCGTGAGGTAACTATAATTGATCCAGATTTTCCCAGATAAATCTGGATGGTTTTCCAACGTCAAGCCATGGTCAACCCATGTCAACCCCTCTTTAGGCTCCAGCTGTTGGGAGGCCTGCGGTGAATGCACCTTGGCATATCGAGTAATGTCGGTCGAGTGTCGGATGGGCGATGTTGGTGCCCGGAGCTGCCGCTTCTGCCCGGTTTCAACCTGCGGAATATTACATTAAAGCATATTAAAGCTACAACCCCACTGGGGAATATTACATTAAAGCTAGCCCCACTGGGAATTTCACAATCATGACAATCATGTTAATTTACATTTACAATGGTTCTATATGTTTAATATATTTTAATATCATGGAAAATTAAAAAGCTAATCACTACATGATATTAAAATAGTAACAGTACAAAATAGTCAATTGATATCATCCTCCCAAATAGGGTTGAACAATGGAAATCAGCACCAGCGGTAGCATGAAAATTGATCACACCAAACCCATCTTTGAAGGAAGCGGCCCGAACTCTTTTCAGCGACACGACCTTGCACACGCCGTGGAATGTGTTTGCACCGGGCACACCTGTCCCGCCGTTTTTGGTGTTCGCATATGCGGCTTCCACAACAAAGTTTGCAAATTCGGAGTTCTCGCTTGTGGGGGCAGAAGTCAAGATGCTCAAATCGAGCATGTTTTGGTGGCACATCGGATACTGGAATCCAGGGACAAAATTTGCCCAGTTTCTTTCTGCATGAATAATGCCCTCTGCCGGGAACCAAAACAGAGATTTGGTCAGTGACTGGATGTCGGAAAAACCAGCGGCTTGATATGCTTGCTGGGCATGAGCTGCATTGCAACTGAACTGCATGGTCTCCCTCGAACACTGTGGGTAAGCCTGTCAGCATGACAAATGTCCGAAGAAACCTCTCTCCCATTTTTAAGACGGAAACGATGCTTGGAGGGTTCAATCAAAATGGAACTGGGGACAAACAGATTTGCTGAGTGTGTTCGATAAATCCTGCCTTTGATTTTCTTGTTTGGATAATATGCGCCCGCTGAAATTTCAGCACTGTCAACGAAAGGTAGGTGCTTGCAGTGTCGGGCACTTGACGTCTCAGTCTCATCTGTCTAACCCTTCATCTCATCTGAGAGGCTAATCAGGGAACTCAGCTGAGACCATTGCCTAGTACCCTACAGTAAATTAACATAGACCCTGGCAGATAGGGGTTGGAAGACTAGTTTCCATTAAAAATTGGTGATTTTCAGGGTCTATGTTAAATTACCAGAGGGTAACTGAAGTAGATGGCAAAACCGCAAGATCCACTTGATCCAATATTCCCTGGATGTAGGTCAGGGCACTCTCGAGACACTTACGACGGTTTTTCCTCGTCTGTGAGGTCAATATGTTGCAAAGCCATAATCAGCACACGGCGAATCCGAGTCTGCAACTTGGAACTTTGGAGTCCTGGGTGCTAGCTCCAGCCCAAAACAAAAGATAACTGGCTGCGATACGTTAAGATCATTCAAAAATGCCAACTAAATCACCTCAAAATATTGGGGTGGGGCTTCCGGTCAGTGAAGAATTGGCTTGGCATCATCCAAAGTGTATATATATATGGTCAGTGCCGGAATTATAGAACGGAAGTTGAGGAGGACGAAGGTACGGTTATTTCCCGTACCCTGTTGTTCTATAATTCTGTTTTCCTCGGAAGGTATGAAAAAAAAATGTATCTGATCTTCCTCCTATTTTTTTTCGTCGTTCTATAATTCTTGTCGGAGCGCTGTTGTTCTATAATTCTGTTTTCCCCCATTTTTCTCACATTTCCCATTTTCGTTCTATAATTAATTTTCCCCGGGCCCCGTTCTATAATTAATTTTTCCGTCGAACGGAAAAAATAATTATAGAACGGAAAAATTAATTATAGAACGGAAAAATTAATTATAGAACGGAAAAATTAATTATACTGTAGGTGCCGGAATTATAGAACGGAAGTTGAGGAGTACGAAGGTACGGTTATTTACCGTACCCTGTTGTTCTATAATTCTGTTTTCCTCGGAAGGTGTGAAAAAAAAACGTATCTGAATTTACTCCTAACTTTTTTCGTAGTTCTTGTCGGAGCGCTGCTGTTCTATAATTCTGTTTTCCCCCATTTTTCCCACATTTCCCATTTTCGTTCTATAATTAATGTTTCCCGGGCCCCGTTCTATAATTAATTTTTCCGTCGAACGGAAAAATTAATTATAGAACGGAAAAATTAATTGTAGAATTATAGAACCTCTTCCGGGGTCCCAGAAATCCTATAAAATCACCATGAAATCTAAGAAAATCACCGTGAAATCCCAGAAAAATACCATGAAATCCCATAAAATCACCATGAAATCTTATAAAATCACCATGAAATCTAAGAAAATCACCTGGTAAATGTGGGAAAAATGGGGGAAAAAAGAATTATAGAACGGAAGTTGAGGAGTACGAAGGTACGGTTATTTACCGTACCCTGTTGTTCTGTAATTCTGTTTTCCTCGGAAAGTAGAAAAAAAACGTATCTGAATTTACTCCTAACTTTTTTCGTCGTTCTATAATTCTTGTCGGAGCGCTGTTGTTCTATAATTCTGTTTTCCCACATTTCCCATTATCCTCATGTTATCCTCATTTTATCCTCGTTATCTCATCAAATCCTCATTTTATCATCATTTTATCTTCATTTCCTTATCAAATCCTGATTGAATCCTCATTAAATCTTCATTTTATCCTCATTTCCTGATCAAATCCCCATTAAATCCTCATTTTATCCTCATTTTATCCGCGTTTTATTATCATTTCCTCATCAAATCCTCATTTTATCTTCATTTTATCCTCATTTTATCCTCATTTTATCCTCGTTTCCTCATCAAATCGTCATTTTATCTGCATGTTATCTTCATTTTCTCATCAAATCCTCATTAAATCCTCATTAAATCTTCATTTTCTAGATTGTATATGTACAAATATGCAGTAAATATCATGTCAGTGCCAGAAATTATAGAACGGAGCCAGGAGGACAAAAGTACGGTAAAATACCGTACCTTTGTCCTCCTCCCCGTTCTATAATTAAATTTCCCGACTCCGCTCCGAATCGGAACCCGGAGGAGGACAAAGGTACGGTATTTTACCGTACTTTTGTCCTCCTGGCTCCGTTCTATAATTCTGGCACTGACTGTATATATATAGTATTATATAGTGTGTGCGTGTGTGTCAGATTATATTTCTCAGATTATATAAGGGGGTGCCTTCCCCAAAAAAAAGCATGCATGTGTGTGTGTGTGCGTCTGTGCGTCTGTGTTCATGTGTGTGTGTGTTTGGAACATTTTGGAACGATATCATGGCTCGCATGCTAGCCTTGTTCTGCAATAACCGATGCAGCTGCGCTTCAGCATGGCGTAGCCAGTCAAGTTGCTCTTCCAGCGTGGCATTGCGGAACTTTGCGATCTCCTGCTGCAGCCGTTGGTGTTTCCGCAGGCCAATAGGTTCCGGAGACCTTGATGATGCCACCGCTGCCCCTCCCGCATCAACTGCAGTGATGTTGATGGCATCCCCGTTGGCAACGGAGAAGGTTACGGCTTGGCCAATTTTCAGGGGTGGCCCGGTGCGGACTGCGTGGAATTGAACCTTGGCCGCCGTTCCATTCTGCGAGCGATACGCCACAACACCACCAGAGTGATAGTGGAGTTGGCTAATGTGCCCAAACATGGCAAGCCTAGGAACAGCTTGAGCCACTGGTCTCATGGTACCTGGCCATTGACAACGGAGGATAGTGAGGATCATGAGGTGCCCTTGGGCCGAACACTCCATAGTCCAGTCCTAATAAAACCTCTCCCTTCATTACTTGCCTCAAATGGAATCGTATCCTATCAGCTCAGGATGAAATGTAAGCAAAATCACAGCTAGGTGCACTCGAAAGCCCCAGCTCATCATGGATGACGTGTTGCAAAAGCTCAAAAGAATGAAAATAGCTCAGCTGATTCAGGATTAGTCAGGATAAGATATGATAAAACAGTGAACCATGGTGAACCCCAAATACAACCCATTCCCAAGACCAGGACCCTGCAAAAGATGAGGTTCCCTACCCATATGGTCCAGGCTTACCCAGGCGACCTGGCTTCACACCGTGGAGGACGAGGTCTGGATCTTTCTTGAGTCAACATCCATTGCACCTGTACCGTACTTCTTTAGCCTATATAAGGGCCTTAGTAAGGGGATATGCCCCCGAGCTCATCCCAGTTCTATAACTTTTTTTTTTCTGGTGCAGTACCTCTACCACGAATTCATTGGGATATCATGGGTATATGCTGGGAATTCACCGGGGAGGGGAATGTAACTGACTGTCGGCGACAATGTGGGGATAGACATGGGTTTACCTGACATGTCACTTCCTGATGGGATTCCCAGTGGATGATTTTTTCCCAAAAGAAATGGGGTGTAACCAGTGGTTACTCCAGTATAATGGGATACCCATGGTTTCCCAACTGGGATTATTGTTGCTATAACCAGTGGAAACCAAATGATAATCCCCCAGCTGGGAAACCATGCGTTCTCACCATTTTTGCTCAACATCCAAGAGGATTGGGAGTCTTCTTTGCAGAAAGTGGTGCCATCTTTACCTGGCGAGTTTTGGATAACTTTGCCAACGAGAAAAAAAAGCAGTCGTTTAGACAAAATCTGTTCCGCCTTGGCTAAACTAATGTCACTTGACATTAACACATCAAGCGCCAGTCAAGGTTTCCATAGATATTCCATAGATATTCCATAGATTAGATATTCCCCAACTACATTGGCCCCGGCCCTGTACCCTCTGAGTTTCTGACTGTCCAAACCTCGCCAGCGGCCAGGGACATAGCTCTTCCCAGATACCATCGGGTTATGACTAACAGTTTGCCATGGAAAATCACCATGCTTTTAATAGGTAAACCATCTATTTCTATGGGCCATCTATACCATGGCTATGTTAAATAACCAGAGGGTAATACTATTTTAATGTCTAAGAATATCTTAGGATATGTTTTCCTGCTTTTGGGGGGAAGGGTGCTTTCCACCTTTTCAGGTTTTCCTTCCAGCCTGCTCAAGGGCGTACTCCCACAACGCTTGGAGAACCGAAATGACTCAAGTGCATTCAAGTGCCACAAGTTGGCATACCCGGATATCCCGGATACCTATCGTTGCAGGATCAGTTTCAATAAGATCCAGCCAGGGTGCAATAGCTATTGGAGCCCAGCAAGGTCTTGAAGGGCCCAAGTCCACTGCAACAGCTCAGCTTTCCCCCCTAGGACGGAGCTCGAGAGCTGTCTTAGAGAACGATGAGGCAATTTCTTGGAGATCTTTGAGACTTATAATATCTTACAATATATTGAATTCAGACTTCCCCTCCATTTAGTCCGGCCTACCAACCTGTTTGTAGATCTTCAATCGTCTTATATGATATATAATTTACATTTTTGTTTGCTCGCGGGTGCTCAGAAAAAGAACGTGTCCAACGTGCAGTTGTCAGGGCTTCTCATGCGATCCTTTCACTTTCAGCTATCGATTTCTTTTCCTGGGCTAGAACTTCACGGTGAAATCCGTTGAGAGAATCTTTCCAAACAAACAGATGGAAACCGGGAAACCAGGTGAAAACGACACACGGAAGTAATATTGACATCCGACTAGTGAACCCTCCAACATAAAGTGCACCAACTTCTTGAATGTGTATTCATTGGATTGGTTTAATGGCAAATTGAAACCAGAATTGTCACCCTAAATGTCATGAAAAACAATGAGAAAAAAAAACTGGCTTCAACATGTTTCACTATTTTCGACCTATTTTGGATGCAAGGAAAACGTGGTATTGTTTAGGCCAAACATGTTCCCTTCAACCAATCCATTCACGCATGTCCTGGCAGGCGTTTATTGGCGCCTCCACGCGCTCGTTTTTGCCGGTGAAGAGCTGGCCTGTGAAGGAACGCCCGAAGTCTTTTGGAACTGAAAACCCAAAAGATGTGGAGATTTCTGATCTAGTTTATAGTCTTTTGGGTTTCTAAATAGTCAACTAAACCCATCTGAAACCCAACTATGTATTTATGATTTATCAAGTTCTAAATAGTCTTTCTCTAACATGTGGGGAAACTCTGATTTTGGATGGCCCCTTGGCTCCCCACGGGATGAAAACTGGGACTTTGGATGCTAACTACTATTGACCATACATAGACCACTGCCGCTTAAAATGGACTAGAAGCCATACGCATATATAATTTACCATCGGGTTATGACTAACAGTTCGCCATGGAAAGATTCACCATGCTATTAAGAACGGTTAACCCAGGTATAAACCACCTATTTCGATTGGGGCCATCGAAAAACCATGGCGAACTGTTAGTCATAACCAGAGGGTATCTACTGTTGATAAGTGAAACTGCACCCTGATATCGATGCTCCTCATTTCACAATTTGGTGACGTTGTAAAATTCTCATCTGTTTCCATCCAAAACATATGGACATATGGGTAATTGTGCATGAACATTGGCTAATGTCTATGTATCTAGGTATTTTATCTATATATATAGATAATTGTGTATGTCTGTCCAACGATCCAGCTATCTAGGTATCTGGCTATGTATCTTTGTATCTATATAGTAGTATGTATCTATGCATCCATGTAACTATGTATTAATGTATCTCTCTGTGTGTGTGCTACTGATTATTATCACATGTAATGTGATGTCATGTACAGTAATTAGCGCGATGAAGTGTAATGAATGTAATGTCATGTCATGTCATGTAATGTAATGTCGTGTGAAGCAGCCTAGTGCCAAGTAATATAACACTATGTAAATCTAAGTGTGTATTAATGTAATGTAATGCAATGCAATGTAATGTAGGGTAGTGTAGTGTAATGCAATGTAATTATGCATGCACGCAAATACGAATACATTTCGTTGACGCAAACCAAATTAGGCATCCAAAACATCGCATGGTTGATGTTGTTCCCTCTAAAACTTGCCCAAAAAAAAACAGAGCCCATGTTTACCCTCTGGTAAACTAACATAGCAATGGAAAATGGCCATTTATAGTGGATTTACCCATTAAAAATGGTGATTTTCCATAGCTATGTTAGTTCACCAGTGGGTATCCATTGTTTGAAATGCTGAAAACCATCCTCAACGACTCAACGTTTGCCTCTGGCAGAGTCGTGACACTGCCCCAGCTTCCACTCGTCCTTACTCCATTCCTGAAGACAAAGACCTGACGGCTGGTTCCAATGGGAGTTTCCAATTTTTCTGGAAAATCTAAAAAATCATCAATGGATTGGTTTTCTTGGGAAAATTTACTGGTTTAAGCCCCATGATTCATGATCTTAATTAGGGAAAATCGATGGTTTCCGGTTAAGATGTTCCCTTTTTCACCAATCCATTGGATCTTAATGATCATCAATGATGGATATATGGACCATATAAGGATAGAACTTTCATTGTTCCATGCAAACATCAAATATCAACCATCAATGATGAATAGAATGGATGAACCAATCAACCAAATATCAACCATCAATATCTACGATATGGATGAAATCAATGCATTGGTTGATTGGTTTAAGGGAAAATCGACGATATGTTCCTGGTTTTTATCATCAAATAATATCAAATACCCTCCAGTAAATTAACATAGACCCTGGTAGATAGGGGTTGGAAGATTAGTTTCCTCTAAAAAATGGTGATTTTCAGGGTCTATGTTAATTTACCAGAGGGTATGTCCTGTAAACGTGTTCCCTCAAACAAAACCGATGGAATGGATGTTAATGAATCGAAATGGGATGGATATGGAATGGAAATGGAAATGGAAATGGAACTCATGGGAATGGAATGTTTTAATCTATCAATGTGCTTGGGAAACTCTGATGCTCTCTTTTTTTCTCCAGTCCCTATCGGAAAAATTGTGAAGCCATTGGATGCAGCCAATAGCTCCGAACACCGGAAACTGATGGAAACCCAATGGAAAGCCATGGAAATGGATGGGAAATCGCTGGAAATTGCTGAAATTCCCAAAGTTGATGCGAATTTGTTTAACGGATCTCGGGATATCAGGATATATCAGGCTTCACCCAGAGCCATTTGAGAGCTGGTGTGGGAGAGGGTGGGTGCACTTTGACTCAGGTTGTAAAAAAAACGCTTGATGCTACTAGCTGTGCTCTTTCTGAATCAAATTGCAAGACGCTCTTGATGCTACGCTCTTGACTTTATCTTCGGACTTGCTGGGTAAACCAAGGAAAGACCGACATTTGCAGCGATCTTTAGAGCAGAAAACCCCTATTTTGACCCATCTCCATGCGCCCTGAGGGGATCTGAGGGGCACACCTGTAGATTCCTCTCGCAAGGAGTAGACCTGCCATGGTTTAGAGGACTTAGGATTCATCTGAGCTATGCTTCCCTGCACCACGAGCCGCTTGCTGTCCCAAGAATGTGCCGGTGCCGCAGAGATTTATGGAGATACACCCTCCAGAAATCTAAAAGGGTCAGTCATCGCACAAATTTCACGATCCCTTGTTCAAAGTTTGTCAACTGTTTGGGTTGGTGGTTTAGAATCAACAACGTGGGGCCTCCCCGCTCACCCCCGACAAGAAAAGTAAAATCATATATCAATCCAAACAAAAACATGTTGCCAGCAACTGTTGCACTACAATACCGCAATGAACAAACAACCGGCCAACGGCACACACCCAAAAGGGCGAACTACAGCTGGTTCCTCCCCTTAATCCTGGTGAGAACCATAGGCCTCACTGGGAAGGAGGCCCAAGATCTCCATAGGCACCCGGTATGTGTCCTTGGAACGCCGCGAAAAAAAGCAGGGGAAGGGCTAGGATTGATGGGGATAGTTTGATGGAGATTCATCAAAAACGGATTCATCAAACCATAAACATTGCCCATAGGATCCATGTATATATGCTAACATTTGGGGTATATGGATGGTACATGTTACCATATATAGCATACATGGATCCTATGGGTTGGGAAGTTCATTTAAGCCTATACTAAAATCAACCTGCAATGGCATGATTTACAGTAGAGGATCTTTTGCGGGGCAGCATTGTTGTTGCCATAGGGGTTTAATTCTGGGCAGGAACGCGCTAAAAACTTCCAGAAATATCGATACATCTATTTAAAAAAAATACGGAGAAACCAAGAGAAAACACAGAATTCAGCAAACATCAAACTATGAACATATGAAAAAATGAAAAACCCACGGAAAAAACAACTCCCAGGTTGATTCGTTACGCAGCTGGTGTTCCACCTGTGGAGATATGGCCGCCATGGCCAAGGCACTAGGAACTTCTCCAAACCTGGCAGCATGGCCAATTCGAACATGCTATGGTGTCGACAAAATATCGAATGGAATCATTTGGCACCCCTGGGTTACTGATCAAAGGGCTACTCTTGGAGCAATAAGTGGTGATTCAAAAACATTGGAAATGGGACAGAAATGGAAACTAATGGAAATCGGAAATCAGATATGTTCATCTGTTCATCTATCTGGTGAAACTCTGCAGCTCCTTGGCTTCCAGTTGGGTTGGGAATTGTGGAAAAAACCAGAGATCCGAACAGATCGAAGGGCCCCAGGGCCCTAGGGCTCAGCCTGCACACTTCAAGTTCTCCTGGCCCACAATTCCAGCAAAGTCAAAATGATCATGTCCATTTTTGGGAAACCTGTGGAAACTTTGGAGTTCTACCTTGGTTTAGAGGGGTATACACGGTATACCAGGTAATGAGACGATACCTTGGGCAATTTTCAGTCTGAATGCCCGCTCATTGTCCAAGTTGGAGACAATAAACCATGGATATTCAACCTCTTAATAGGGGACACCCATCTGCGAACCTGACAATTCTAGCATTTTTTTCCAACCAGCAGCCCATGTTTCCCATAGTTTCCCATAGTTTCCCTACTTTTCCAGATTTGTGCCATAGCTTGTTAGATAGGTAACTGAGCCCAAAATCTGTGATTTCTCACCTGTTAGGTTACCCTAAACCCAACTAATAACAATAGTTCACCAAATTAATGCAGATAACAATAAGTGACAATAACAGATCATAATATTCACATATATATATATACATATTCATTCTCTAAATACATTGTCAATCTTTGAGAGTCCACGAAAAATGTTGTCTTTTTGCTGGATGTAACTATTATGTTCCATTCATAGCGGAGAAAAAAAAAACTAAAGGGTTAAACTACACAAAATCATGGGTTGTTATTAGCAACCCCAAAAATAGTATGTGAAAAATATGGAACACCTTGAAATATGGAGTAAATATCATCGAGCTAGCAAAAAAAGGTTTCACAGTGTTCGGCATCTTCTGGGTTGCCATCACATTATGAATATATAATATTTAGCAGCTGCCTTAGCCCCTATACCTTTTATAGCAGGTACATTATCTGCAGAATCACCTAAAATAGCCAGGTAATGTGGTCAACCCAATGATACCCTCCGGTAAACTAACAGTTTGCTATTGAACATGGCCATAGAAATAGTTGATTTACCCATAGAACATGGTGCTTTACCATAGTTTTCCATAGTTATCCAGAGGGTAAACCTCCATTTTCCAATGGTTTTCCTATGGTTTTCCCATTAAAAATATTAAAACTTCCATTTTCCCATGGTTTTCCTATGGTGTTCCCATTAAAAAATATTAAAACCTCCATTTTCCAATGGTTTTCCTATGATTTCCCATGAAACCCACCATGGCTTGTCACAATGCTCCTGCACCGCTCGGACGTCCGACATCTCACCGGCAGAGGTGTCGCGATCAAAGCGAGGGTTCTTTAAGGCCTGGAATCATCCAGGGATTTCATTGCGGTTCTATATGTCATTATGTCATTAGTACAAGATGATGGCATATGATAGCTGGTCATAGCTGGTCATTTTTTTTACCTGTAGATGTCTCAGAAGCACCCAATCTTGAGCATCTAGAAAAAATCGAGAGAACCATGGGGATTCAGCCCCCCAAAGCTGCCCAAAGCTGCCCTGCCGCGCCTCGCTGGACCAAGGGCCGAACCAGGCCTGGATCACACGCGCCTGGTTGAAGAGCGTGTCACGTCGCTCGTGGTGCAAGGTGCCATGTTGCCTAGGGCAACATCGACGACTGAAACTGGGGAAGTGGGGAAGTAGATTCGAAGTGTAAACGTTTACATACCGAACTGTAAAATCACCACCTTTAATGGGTAAGTCAACTAGTTCTGTGTGCCATGGCTTCAATAGCTATGTAACAAATTACCAGAGGGCAGATGGGGTCTGATACAAAAACCAGCAGATTCTGTCATGAATCCAATAGGTATCGCATTCAACTTTTGGCCATGCTATACCATGCTATGTGAACGTGAGCCATCCTTGGCCGTCCAGATCCCCCAACGAAATGGAGCTTCATCCGGCCCGCCGGAGTGTCAGGAATTTTTCATCCAGAATTCAATGAATTATTGAATTATCATGAATGGTGCGTCTGAAATGAAATGACATGAATCTCAGTTCAGCCAGTAAACTGATAAATTTAATGTTGGGCTTATCTTATCTCGGCTCTCTACCCTCTGGTTATGACTAACAGTTTGCCATGGAAAGATCCACCCATTCTTAAGAACGGTAAACCATCTATTTCTATGGACCATTTTCCATGGCTAATCGAACCTCTCACCTTGGAGGGGCAGTCGCCAAGGTGCTGATGGCAGAAGCCCACCACACTCTCCTGGCCGACAAAACCGATGTCCATCCGTGACCTTCCCATGCCTTCACCAAAACGATAGAAAAGCTGCTCCAAGATGGTAACAACTCAGCCCTCATTTGTGAAAAATTTTGTTTTAGAACAATCATTGTTCTTATGTTCACCTCAATTGCTTATTCTAATGATTTTTAAACTTGAAAAAAAAAACAAAAAACGGAAAACACATGGAAAATCAAAAAGCAAAACTTCAAAACTGAAAAAACGAAGCAAAATAAATGGGGAAAAAAAGGAACGTCAAAAAGGGGAAAAAATGGGAAAACATGGATTTGTCCATTTGCATTGTTTTTGCATTTATTTTGCTTTTTCGATTTGCGTTTTTGCTTTTATTTTTCTTTTTTTTGTTGCTTTTGCCTGGTAAAAAGCGTCAATAAAGGCCAAAAAAAACAAATCGAAAAAGCAAAATAAATGCAAAAAAAAATGCAAATGGACAAATCCATGTTTTCCCATTTTTTTCCCTTTTAGTCTTTCCTTTTGTTTCCCTTTTTTTCCCTTTTATTTTGCTCTTGTGCTTTTTTGATTTTGCTGATTTGCTTTTTGGTGTTTTCCTTTTTTTTGCTTTTGTTGCGCTTTTTTTCAAGTTTTAAAAAAGTTGGAAAAAGCTGTGGTCTGGCTGACATAACATTGTTCTTTATATATCTCTTATCTGGATTTAACTGGTAGTTTCCAAGTGTCCAACTTTTCTATCTAGTTTTGAGTCACCATAATTTCATAGCCTAAGACCTAAGAACCAACATCGCCAGCAGTTCATACTATCGGCCGAGAAGGGTTTTGTGATGCAGCCGAGCGTCGTTCATCAGCACAAACTTCCCACCGCAAAGCAACACGCGAAGAGACAACCTGATGCGGGTTGCTATGGGCTCTGGGCAACTTACAATCATTCCCAAACCTCAAATAAGCCAGTTGCGCAGGTGGTTTCCTTTACAGGTACAAGTCTCTCTCCCACATTTCTGGGGCTGTGCCAGCGAGGTTGCCCGGAATTCTTTCTGTATTGAGAACCCTTCTAGATTACAGTTTGATTTTCACCGCAGCATAGAACCCAAAAGATCCAAAAGAAACATGTCCATCACCAGAGTTCAGCAAACTTCTTTTTCCATCTTTTTCCCCTGCAACCTGCAGAAAGTGGTGGGAAAGAGGGGAAAGAGGGGTAGCCACCTCTTAAGCTACGAGACTCCACCAAGGTCTTCCGTTAACACAGCGGTTTTCACCGCAGGAGCTAAGCCCAAAGCTCAACGTTTTCGATGAGCAAAGTGGATGAACCTGAAACGAGCGCTGAACGTCCTGGAAGGATTTTTGGGATAGTCCTGGAACGGCTGGGAAAACACGAGGTTTTCTTTATCATGTTCAACTGCCATTTGTCACAACCTTCCAAACCATTCTATACATCATTATATACATATATCATATATCACCACATATTTCTACATATTTCTAGATGTTTTTATCTGTCTACTTTCATGTCCGTTGATGTTTCATGTTGGTTCCGCTTCGATTGCTGCCTTTCATCAGGCTGTCGTAGCCACCAATCTCCTGGCTTTCAGTGACCCATCCAGGGTTAGTGGAGTTGTCCACCGTCCAATGCAAAGTCATCCCATAATTACAAAGGATGGATTGCCATTGTATACCATTGTTGGTGTATACCATTCACATGCTGTTATTGGATACCAGCCCACCATGGATTACAATGGCCCTATTCATTCCGGTTCTTTGTTGGTGGGCTGGTATACATTCACATGCTGTCGACATGAGCCATTGTACTAGACAACTATTCCCCCATGCGTCGCCGCGGTGCAACTAGCCGAACTAGTAACTACGCCCCAGCTTCGTTCACTCCGTTCGCAAATTGAAGGAAAACAGCATTACGGGCAGCCATACATGTTACACAACAGCAATTTGGGGAAATTTGGGGTTGAAACATGTTGAAACTATGGCTCTGACCACCCAAAACTATCAGAACTCTCTGGGAGGCTATCTGTGGCTTTTCACCTGTGATTCACATCCTTCCTCCAGGGATGATGGCACACATAGAAAAACCCGTTGGTTTTTGTGGGGAAAATGTGACAGGAAAACCTTCTATTTGGGGAGGGGCTTGTTGCAAGAGAAAAATCCACCTTGGAAGAGAAAGCAGAAAAAACATCTCCACGGCATGAAGCATAAAAAATGCCGTAGAATATCTGTATAGATATATGACATAAAATGCAAGACTGCATTGGCGAAGTTTCGATCATGGAGTTCTCAGAAACACTGGTCCATAATTTTGTGTGGAACAAAAACCTGAAAATTGGAAATATGTATTATTTTGAAGTCTCGGAACGCACTACTGGAGTGCTTCTCAGCTGTCATCTATGTTTGAAAGTAACACCATTTCTTTAAAGGAAAATAATGTAACACTTAACACTCCTTCCAAAAGACTCCAGCTGCCTGGTTTTTGGCAAGTAGCACTATTTCTTTGAAACTTCCCTTCATTTGGAAATGCACATCATTTATGTGAGGGAAATGCTTCACTCACCAAAAAGAAAATTGTCTCAGTTGTCCTTCATGTTTGACTGTAACAGCATTTGTTCGAAAAGAATATGATACTCCTTTCAAAGAAGCCCAATTGCCTTCTATTTAGAAAGGACCACCATTAAGTTGAAGCAAGGAAATTGCACATCCCCAAAGGCTTCATCCCTTGGAACATTGCACATCCCCAAGGAATACTGTGCATGTTTATCATACACGCATTGTTTTAAATGTTCATGCTTTGTGAAGCATACATTTGATACACAGAGGATGCCTCAGAAGGAAGCACGATAAATCAGATTTGCTGTGGATTAATCTGGATTAATCCTAAGGATCAAAACATCGGAAAACAAAAAGGAAAGAAAAAAAAATGGGGGGGAACTAATTACTTGGATCTAGCATGATCTAGCCATGTTGAGACGTCTGAAAAACACTATTTCTGGGGGTGTCTTTCTTTTTTTGTTGTTTTTTGTTCTTTGTGGTATTGCGTGTGTTCAATCAGCTTAAGTTTTGTTTCCATTCGAAAAGGCTTGTGCATGAACAATAAGAAGCCAATAATTATTGCTTCAGATCATGCAATACGTTTACAAAAAAACATCAATAAACACTAAATATATATATATATACAAAATTCTACAAACAACTGGTAGCTTCGGCGCTGGCAACCAGCCTTTCTGTAAATAAATAATGGTAAAAAAACTATGGTTTCTGGATCTTCCCTTCAACCTCTTCATTCAACCGTTGGATCCTGCCACCAGCTCCAACTGAAGACCAGGACGTTGCTCTGATCGATGGGATGGGGCCAAGTCACATGCCTTGGATGTCTGGGGATGATGAAGGGGATGATCATCGCGTGCTGAGTGCTGAGATGGATTCTATGGATATAGAATGATACATATATATATATTGTAGACATTATGGATTCTACAGATATAGATCATTAATTAATGATAATTATATATAGATATACGGTAGATTATACGATGATATCTGTACGAGACTGGGTCAGCTCCAGATTCTTCTGACTACTGAGAATGGCTAGAATACGGCAGAATACGCTCTTTGAACTCTTGATTCCAGCTTGTTTCCGATTGTGTTTTTCTGTGATGACAACGCCAAACCAACCAGCCTTGCTTCGGGGCTGGACCCCATGGAAATTTTCTCGTAGCTGATTCAACATTTTTCAACATTGACCCATGAAAAAGTGGGTAATGTCATTTTTACCACCCATGACTGGGAATGGTTTATACAAGCTATTTTCACGTATTTATATGTATTTATGGTGAGGGGGACGGCTTATTGTTGGACTTTACCCACAGAAAAATCTTAATGGCTGACTTTATAAACAGCACCCTTTGATACCCATCAAACATGGCTGGGAAATCCCCGAACAAAGTGGAGGGTTTTTCATCGGGATTAATAAACGGGAAAATCATGGACCTCAAAAGTTTGAAATTGTCGAGGACGCCATGGTTGATTCCCGGAAGGGTGCTTATGCAAAATAACTTACAATAAGCCGTCCAGGGCCTTGCAAAGAAAGCTGCTCGTCAAAGTACAGCTGGACGGTCTCCGCCTGCGCCATCAGTGAATGGGGTCGCAGGTCATCCCGCCACCCCCAATGAAGAATAGAGGCCCCCATCACAGTTTCGATTGGGAGTATTGAGTATTAATTCAACGGATGACCATCATCGTTCTTGGCAGATTGTGTGCGCCATGAGCATCACCCACCTCCCAAGTGAAGAGATTGTCGAAGAATCGTGGTGGTCCGCTGGTTTCCCAACCTCTGTGGTTGCTGGGGGGAAGCACGCCAGTTGTTAGACAGGAAAAGCAAACCAAGAAATTCAAGAAATGTCATGAAATGTCATCATTTAGCGAAGGCTCCTTCACTGCGGGACCAAAAGGGTGGGGCATCAAATATTTCACAACGTGACTAATTACTTATCTCACTCAAAAGAAGGTAGGGGTCTTTGTTGTGCCAAACTTTCAAGGCCCCAAGGAGATTCACAAACAAAAATCAGTACGGTTGATTCGGGTCATAGAACCCAAGCCCCACAACATGAGATAAAGCAGTTCTGAACTGCCAGAATGTGAAGTAAGAGTCGAGTCGTGGTGGGTCATGAGCAATACCGGGCGCAAAAATTCACCATAGTTCACCGGTTCACCGCCCACATCAACCAACAAGGATGGCACTGAGATTCCCAGCTCTTGGCATCCAAATCCACCAGTGCTGGCACCGCCACCGACTTGGGATGCTTCCGCAAGAGCTTCATGATGGGTTCAGCCCAACCTTCGCTTTCGGGTCAGGCTGCCAGGCTTTGGAAAATGCATAGCCACTCCGGAACAACCACTCCAATTGTCTACAATCGATGCGGGATTGCGATGAGCTTCCATGATGTATATATATAATATATATATATGTATTGTATGATGACTGTTTCTGCCCCCCTACTGAACTATATGAACAGTTCATACTGGAGGGTAGATTGCCATTTTTGTCGCCTAAGTGTCCATTGAAGTCTTGGCTATCACCAATTTTCTTGGTCGAATCACCCATTTTTCTTGGTTGCACCGTTTTTGTTGGTTACCCTCTGGGAAACGTTTACATAACTATGGAAAATCACCATTTTTAATGGGAAAATCCACTATTTCTATGGCCATTTTCAATAGCTATGTTAATTTACCAGAGGGTAAATCACAATGTTTGGTTCTTAAAGCCCGATGTTTGTTGTTCCTACCCTCCTACCCTCCACCACATCTCCAATCCCACCTGTCTGAGGCTTCACGTAGCAGTCGAAGAAGGCCTAGCTATACATCCTATGGGGGCATTATTGGGCTAAGAATTGAAATTGCCGGAATCCTCAAAATTCCGTGTGTTTGGTGGTTTGAACTAGCGTTGTTTTCGGCCGTGTTTTCCTTGGTTCGATTCCACTATTGGCTACTTGTTGGTTAAAAAATAATAATTCCTGTGCGTGAAGATGTCCCATGATCTTCTTCTTGGTGTTAAGAAAAACATCTGATGGATAGCATCTGTCTTGGTTAAATTCCCTGATGTTGCTGGTTAGTATTTGTCTTTGTGAAAGTTTCGTTATTTCTCCTGGCTGAAAATCCCTATCTGTTCGTCATCGGTTATGTAGCATTTTCTTGTTTATTTTGGTGGGGAGAGAAATGAGAAACCCTCAGGAAAATCCAAAAGAGAAACAAAACATTCCTATAGCCATCTTTTTCAAAGTTTTGAAATCACCTAACCCAACATGTTCGTTTTTATGAAACACCCAAGGGGAAAAAATAACACACAAATCATCTTTGGGATGATTCCCCCAATCCCATCACATAAAAACTGACCTCGCAACGCGAGGGTATCCATAATTTATTAATTTAGACTAAGTTGGTATCTATGAACCATGAAATCAAGCAGTATCAAGTATTATTCATCACTACATCATAACCACTACATGGACGAGTTCATTTTTGGCTATTTCTGTACCCAAAATTGTCCCGCTTCCATCCCACTGGTCACCCCGATGCGACCGAGATTTATTCCAAGTCGCCAGCGCCTCTCCTCGTGCCGCCTCTCCCCCCGCACTGCGCGCGGCAGCGGTGCCCTGCGGCGCCGCAAGGCGGAGCCAAAGCAGCTGGACACCCTGGATGAGGTCGGAGCCTGCCTCCTGGGATGACGAGGGGCGCCACTTTTGGGGGGACATGCTGACATGCAACCATTTCGGTCTGATCTACCCTCCAATAAACTAACGTAACTATGGGAAATCACCCCTTTTATATAGTAGGTAAAACAACTATAAATCGCCGATTTTTAATAGCTATGTTAAATTACCGGATGGTATTTGGGGGGCAGAGAAGGGGTTCAGAAGAGGAAAATGTGACTGTCAAATACTGTCAACCAGCCAAATGGTGATTCCCTGCCACCCTTTTCTACCACCCTTCCTGCACCACAATTCATAGGTTTTGGTACCTGTTTGCACTTCCAAATGCTTAGCAGTCAGTGGCTCTTAAGTCTTAAGGGATACCAAGTGGCCCGATGTGGTCAGGCCGTGTCTCTTAACCATCAGAAATTTGGATGTAACCGATCTAAGCTCAACAAAACTTGAATTTCAGGATGGGTGTCTCCCAAAATTTGTGATATATGTTTACCTGGAGTGGTGACTTGAACTATCAAAATGTGGATCTGACCCCAAAACATAGACTTGGAGGAGAAAACTTGGGAACAGGTAAGACTAAATATGTAATTATGTTTAGTTCACCCCAGTATACATGGGATAAGCCCACCTGCAAATCATACGGGAGAAGTTCAAGGTTTGAAGGAGAATCCGCAAAACGGTTGGCAAAAAAATGCATGTTTCCTTGAATGGCTGAAGGGACAAAATCCTTGCCTGAATGATTTGCAATGTATGGACATGGATGTTACTTGCCTAAAACATGACTTGGGAACTGGTAAATATGTATATTGTTCTTTCTTTCTTTCTTTCTTTCTGTCTGTCTGTCTGTCTGTCTGTCTTCCTTCCTTCCTTCCTTCCTTCCTTCAGTCCTTCCTTCCTTCCTTCCTTCCTTTCTTCCTTTCTCTCTCTCTCTCTCTCTCTCTTTTTTTCTCTGGGAATGGATGCCGTGTGTGGCTTGGAGACCCCCAAGAAATACATCCTGGCAACCCCAGAAACCTGGAAATTATGAGGCAAATGGGTAACATATCATCTATAGCTTCCCAGAAAGACTTGTCTAGCTTTTAGGGGCCTGTATGCATTGACAATGATGTTTGGAGTAAGTTAGCATCATTTGGAACCCAGTGGAAGCTGAACATCGCACCCAAGACTGAAATCATGGCGCTAATAACATCTACCTTTGGACATGGGCTTGATGTACCATGTGGACAGCAGGTACTGGCTGTGGGTTGTATCATGAGCCAGTCAGTGACTCCCGTTGAATCATCCAGGTCCGTGTGAACATTGACAATGTTCAAAAACCACCAAAAAGGAACTCGCAAAACAACCGACCATATGGATCCATATGGTTATTGAGTTTGAAGATGCCAAACATCACATTCTACGGAACCAAAAAAAAACACTGGGATTCCGCGATTCAAAAAACTGGTCCTGGCGTGGGATTTGTAGCTCAGTCCAGGCCATACCTGGCTGGTTCTTACCATGGTGAAACTTAGATACCTGCCAAAAGAATCATTTGTTTAGCTGGTTATAGCTGGTTGGTACATTTTACCACTGATAGCAGATCTGATAGCAAAAGATTGAAGTACTCAAGTATCTGACCCAAGGTGACCCAGGCTCTAATTACTAAATAATCATAATAATAAATAATTAATAAATATAAATAACAATATAAGGTGTTCCTCCAGGTGCTCCCAATGGTGCGAGGACTTCATTTTCCAATATGTTCACAGTTCCTGTCCTCAAGTCAAAGTTTAAGACCACCTTCTGTCATCTTAACTATATTGGAACTGCTCACAGTCGATACGGCCATACACGGCCCCCCACATATAAACGAAGCCTCGAATGGATCATAATTCAGTCTGGTCATTGTGAAACACCATTTGGGTTGACATTTTCAAGCGCCCAAAATTTCGAGAACTACCCTCTGGTAAACGTTTACATAACTATGGAAAATCACCATTTTTCATCATGTTTCATGGGAAAATCCACTATTTCCATGGCCATTTTCCAGTTCGCTTTTTGTATGTTTACCAGGCCGGGTACTCATGAGTTACCCCTGAGTTAGCTGGCCACACGGGGACCACCAATAATGACGGCCAAATATCCAGGCAAGACAGCGACATTGTCCCAATGGTCCACATCCAAATATTATCTTCTCGGATGATCACACTTCCAGCTCCCAGCTTCCGTTCCAGGTCTACTCAGTAGTAACTTTCTGGTCATTTAACAGTTTGCGAACTGGAAAGATTCACCCATTTTTAATCAGTAAATTAACGATTTCCATATTTTCGATGGGCCATGGTTTCATTTTTACGCATGTTTCATATTTTTTTCATAAATCAACATCAATCACTATCCCATAGGATCCATGTATGCTATATATGGTGTGCCATGGATCCCATCAATATACCCCCTTTATGTTAGCATATATACCATACATGGATCCGTCATGGGTATGGAAAATCACCATTTTCTGATATTTTTTGTCATAAATCAACATCAAAATCACTATGGAAAAATCCACCATGTTTATCATCAATTTCATGGGAAAATCCACTATTTCCATGGCCATTTTCCAGTTCGCTTAATATGTATCCAATAATATGTATCCAATAATGATGAGTGTTAACTGTTAATATGTATCCACTATCATTAACTGTTATACAATCATCACAGTATTGGCAATTGATTAACCCATTAAAATTAGGTACCTCAAAATTATGGATGGTTAATACTAAACTAGACATTCACATCTATGGTCCCCTAGGTCTTCCATTTTGACCCACATCCAAATCAACATCAAAATCACTATGGAAAATCACCATGTTTAATCATTTTTATCATGTTTCCTGGGAAAATCCACTATTTCCATGGCCATTTTCCAGTTCGCAAAGGTGGTAACCGTCGCACCTGTGAGGTCGGGCCGCTGGATGGCTGGCACTGTGCCATCCTCGACCACGATGATTTCCATCAAGACATCGCCGCTGGAGTCCAACAAGGCCTGGACACTGGACGGCCAACCTGAAAAAAGCCTCCCTGGTAATGAAAAACATAGGAAAAACCCTAGGAAAACCATAGGAAAATGGGAAAATCATAGGAAAAACCATAGGAAAATGGAGGTTTTAATGGGAAAATCATAGGAAAACCAGTGGAAAATGGAGGTTTCAATGGGAAAATCATAGGAAAACCATAGGAAAATGGAGGTTTTAATGGGAAAATCATAGGAAAACCAGTGGAAAATGGAGGTTTCAATGGGAAAATCATAGGAAAACCATAGGAAAATGGAGGTTTACCCTCTGGTAAACGTTTACATAACTATGGAAAATAGCTACCCGGCCTGGTAATGACTGTTACAGTTTGCGAACTGGAAAATGGCCATTGAAATAGTGGATTTACCCATTCAAAATGGTGATTTTCCATAGTTGTGTTAAATTATACCGGAGGGTAGCTACATAGCCATTGAAAAAATTAGGCACATAGAAATAGTTGTTTTGTTTCGAACTTAAAGATGGTGATGTTGCATAGCTGTGTTCGGAAGGTAACATACCCTCCGGTAATCGTGGCTGGGAAAATCATCGAACTATGGCTGGTGTCACTTCCTCCACATCACCAGCTAGGCGCTTCACGAACTTAACCACCATCTTCAGATGTCTTACCCCCATGCCAGCAAATATACACACTTAATGGTTTCACATAATGAATTGTAATCTCCATATATATATATATGTATTTATATATTTATATTCATACTATATAATATTGTACGTTGGGAGTACCCACTCTCCACGGGAATCACCGCTGTCGCATGCTGTCGCTTTCGCTTCGCCACGTTGCACCTCCACCGTCCTGTGGAGCAGCACGCCGTTCTCGCCGCAGGGTGATGGTGCCAGACGCCCACCCGGCACCGCGATGATCTGACGTGGCCATTGGAGGCCCCGCTAGGACCACAATGGGACTGGAACCGGAATGCAATGTTTAAGATATAGAGATTAATAAATATATTATATATATGCATATATATACACACACATATATATATATGTGTGTACATGTATGTATATATATATATATACATGTATATGTATATATGTATATATATATGGTGCATTCGATTCTATTAAAAGGTCTTATTTATCTATGGTCCTCTATTTATTTGTTTATTTGCTTATCGATCTATTTATCTATGTGGATTGTCTGCTCATTTTATGCACCCATCACTGGATTGAGGTAATCTAGGTGTATCGACAGATAGATCAATAGGTGGATGGACTAGTTCGATTACATAGGGTTGATGGAATCGATAGATGGTTAGGTGAGATAGATTAGATAAATATCATATATATCGTATATGTTATATCTTAAATATTGATGGAACAGATAGATGGGATAGATTAGACCGTGGTAGATGCATACTCGACAAATTACATGGCTACTATCTAGATATTTGACAGATATATAACAGATAGGTTTACTATGGTTTACTAGACAATATGTTAGATACATTAGACATAATAAGCAGATTGGGCAGATTAAATAGAAAATTAAAAAACTAGATAGGTAGATGGATGGATAGATAGATTAGATAGATTAGATAGATTAAATAGAATAGATATATTTGATAGATTAGATGGATTAGACAGATTTGATTAGATAGATTAGATCGGTTGGATAGCTTAGAAAGATTAGATAGATTAGATAGATTAGATAGGTAGGAGAGATAGGATAGATAAGATAATCAGGATAATCAGGATAATCAGGATACATAAATAGGATAGATAGAATAATCAGGATAGATAGGACAAGGAGGAAAGATAGGATAGATCGGATATATCGGATAGATCGGATAGATAGGATGGATAGGATAGATAGGGTAGATAGGATAATCAGGATAATCAGGATAATCAGGATACATAGGATAGATAGGGCAATCAGGATAGATAGGATAAAGAGAAAAGAGAGGATAGATAGGATAGATCGGAAAGATCGGATAGATAGGATGGATAGGATAGGTTGGATAGATTGGATAGATCGGATAGATAGGATCGATAGGATAGAGAGGATAGGATAGATAGGATGATCAGGATAGATAGGATAAAGAGGAAAGATAGGATAGATAGGGTAGATATTAGATGATATTAGGATAGATCGGATATATCGGATAGATAGGATGGATAGGATAGATTGGATAGATCGGATAGATCGGATAGATCGGATATATCGGATAGATCGGATAGATAAGATAATCAGGATAGATAGGATAAAGAGGAAAGATAGGATAGATAGATTGGATAGATTGGATAGATCGGATAGATAGGATAGATAGGATAGATAGGATAGAGAGAATAGATAGGATGGATGGGATGTACGGGATGGATGGGATAGATTGTAGATTCGATCAGATTAGATTTGACTAGGTTAGATTATATTAGGCCTAGGCTAGATTCGATAGATAGATAGGCAGGCATATAGATCGATATTGGAATTTAGCCAGTTGTGATTTGCCTACTTGGGACCTAAAACATCTTTCATCAACAAAAATGAGCACTGACTGCATGGGTGAGACGGTTGATGCCCAGAGGGTCTCAGGTGTATACCTGGAAGCGGCTCCTGATGAACGAATCGTGAAAACAAACAAGACTAGAGACAAAAGAACACATTGTGCCCAGCTTGGGCACAGAATAACCACAGAACGAAATTCTGATTATACAGCCTGCCAAGTCCCTGAAGCTGGCGGGTCAAGTCCGTCTACAATCTCATGGTTGAGAAAACCAAACACCAAAAACCTGGCACTTACCCTCTGGTAATTTAACATAGCTATTGAAAATCACCATTTTTAATGGGAAAATCCACTATAAATGGCCATTTTCAATAGCTATGTTAAATTACCAGAGGGTAACTCATCATTTTTTCCATGATGAAGATGAAAATTGGCCCAACCATCCCAGATTGAGACAAGATGCTGCCGACAATCCTTTCCGCTTCGAGGTTGCGGCACCCTCGTCGTCCGCCAAACGATGTGGGAAGGCCATGGCGACCTGCGGTTTCTGGGATGGTATGCGCTGAAAAGTCAATCAGAATGGGCCAACCAAAATGCTGATTCTTGAGTGGGAAAGGGGGTTCGAGGATATATCGAGTTTGTTCGATGGACTAAAATGATGATCTCAAATGGAAAATGGAAGCTTATCAAATTGGTGATCTATAGCTGATTTGTAAGGATGGCACATTGTTAAACATAACTGTAACTGTAACATACTATAACGAGGCTAACAGATAAATTTACGGGGATATATCGAGCTAGCTAGATGGATTTATTGGTTTATTAGGTGGGAATGGCACATTCGTTTCAAGCAGTTTTAATGTGGAGTTTTGATGAGTTTTGAATATGTTTGACTGAGTGTCCATTATATGCCATCTTGTATGCAAATCTCAAAACATGCGGGACCAACAACAATGGTTGATGAATAAACGGATCGAAATTCGCAACCTCTCTACCAAGATTATCACCGAAGCCCCCTTCCTGGGGATTCTAACTAAGCACATAAGAAAACGATGGCACGCAAGAATCACGTTCGCAAGTGGCATTTGGCCTTAGTCTCGCTAAGTTGAACTGCGTTGATAAATGTCAGTTGTTGACAACTTGACTTATTTGACCTAAATGCAGTACAAATAAAAAAATACAATCACGCTGGTGTTTGTATTGGGTGTGTCTTGAATCTTGAAAGTTGGGGTGCCCAAAAATCTTGGCTTCTCACAGGTCTCCAATGATATTTTCTTGCGCAAGACCTTGTCACGCAATGCCAGGTCAGAGGCTTGAACTTTGAAGCTGGTTTCAGTTGAAGATAGGCTCGTTCTGGGGGTTCTACACGATTCTACACGCAATTCTGCATGGCATAATGTGATGCAACATTGTACAGGAAATGGAAGAAGAAAAACTTCAAGCAACTCAAAAACCGAACTGTTCAATCGCATCCTTGCCTGTAGCACATTCTTCTGCGAAAATCCTAAGCACCGAGATCATAGCCATGCGACCGTTGTTGTTCTTCTTCCTTCCACCCCACACGACGGGTGGGACTTTACACCCGAGCACAGGGCATTAAGCCAGTGGGCTGATCCAGTCTGAGTGGATCTCATGCTAAAGCAAGAGCAAAGGCAGCTCACAAATCAAAAAGACACACGAAAGTGTCTGCGTCATATAAGTACTGCACGAAGCAGTAAGCATCAATCGCTTCGGGGACAAAGTGCTAACATGATTTTAATCTTCACGACGAAGCTGAAAATATTCGAGGCACCAGGGTGCAAGTCATCCGTCACTTCAAATCTCTGGCTTGATCAGAACGCATGACGGCGCCGAAGTGCGTGCGCCAGTGTATCCAGACCGGCCAGGCTCAGGTGAGCCCTCATGCAATAGCGGAAAGCTATAGTGGATCGACTTGAGTGACAGTTGCATCCTATGTTTCATAAAATCAGGAGCGAAAGATCGCGACCAGCCAACGCATAGTGTACAGACCGGCAGACATCCATCTGATTGCAGCAAACATATCAATCCTTCCATTGTTGATCTCACGAGCCCTGAAGTCAGCAGAGTACAAAGTCACCAACCATGCGACCATTGTTGAATACCTTCATTCTCATCTCATCAGTGTACCTCTGAACACCGAAGGGGTCGCCATAGTTGCCAGCCTCCTTTGCACCGGTGCTCCTTCCATGCCAACTCCAAGAGTCTGAAGACTCCCAGGCCCGTGATGGAGCAACCAGCTGGTGAATTTTCGACGCCAGGAAACCCAACGGATGCCATCCGTTGCCCACGAAAAAAACATAGCAAACGACATCTTAAGAAGAAAAGACATGTCCAATTGCCGTCATTGCTACGCGCCCGTGCTTGATTTCAGAACCGCGCAACTTGCGGAAGCCTTTCTCATCTTCGACGGCAGTAAAGCCAGGGGCCACGAAAGTCGCCATAAGGCCCATCACCAGTCCCCCACCTGTTAAAATGATTGATTGGTGGGTTTATTGGTAGAAATGACGATGATGAGGATGATATGATTTGATATGACTACAGGTCCCAAGTGCAACTTCAAAACTGTACTTCTTGAAGTTCTGAAGTGACAGCCCCCGAGCCTGATCCACCAGACCATTGTTGTGCAGGACCTGGTCCAAAGGGGAGAAAAATAAAACAAGAGCACCGCACGCAACAATATGCACATACACTCATACATCTCATACATACATACATGCAGTATTCTTCATATAACCGGAGGAAGTTTTGAAGTCATGTTTCGGACTTGTGGACGGATGCAGCAACAGTGGGGCAGAGAAGAGGAAGAGTCAAAAGAACCAAAATCAAAGCGCACGAAAAGGTACAAAAATTGCGAAACGCTGTATTTTTCGAATGCTTTGAGGCTTCGGAGGGTCGAAAAGTAGGCTCGCAGGCATCTGCTGGGATAAGCGATGAAAAATTGCACGCCGTTGTGGCGCGAAGCACAGTTGAAAGTGAAAAAACTAAAAACACCACGTTCGGAGCATTTTTGGAAGTTGAGATGTTGAAAAAGTGTACGCCGCTGTGGCGCGAAGCACATTCTGAAGTCAAAACAGAATTTTGTTCATTTCAAAGCTGTGAGGCTGTGAGCTTTCAATTCTTGAAGAAGTCTCGCAGAATTGCGCGTTTCAGATAGATAGAAAGAAAGAAAGATAGATAGAGAGAGAGAGAGAAGGGGAAAAAAACAGAGCCTCAACCACATTTCTATCCATCAGTTCGCTCTGCCATCCATGCGTCACAGCAACCAAACTCTCCTATAGGTTTCCTATCTTTGAAACTTCCGTCGCCGCCTTGTGCGGTACATTGCGGTACTACTGGTGTAAATAAATATATATATATATTCATTGTTGTATATATGTGCGTGTGATATTGTTTGTATGTATGTATGTATGTATGTAGGTAGGTAGGTAGGTAGGTGGGTAGGTAGGCAGGTAGGTAGGCAGGTATGTATGGATGCATGCATGCATGGGTGGATGGATGGATGGATGGATGAATGGACGGATGGATGTAATGTAATGCAATGTGCAATGCAATGCAATGTAATGCAATGTAATGCAATGTAATGCAATGCAATGTAATGTATATGTATGATGGATGTATGGATGTATGGATGTATGGATGCATGGATGTATGGATGTATGGATGTATGCATGTATGGATGTATGGATGTATGGATGTATGGATGTATGGATGTAGTGTTATGTATTGTTATGTATTGTTATGTATTGTTTATGTATTGTTTATGTATTGTTTATGTATTGTTATGTATTGTTACGTATTGTTATGCATTGTTATGTATTGTTATGTATTGTTGTGTATTGTTATTGTTATGTATTGTTATGTATGGTTATGTATGATTATGTATGGTTATGTATGGTTATGGATGGATATGTATGGTTATGGATGGATATGTATGGTTATGGATGGATATGTATGGTTATGGATGGATATGTATGGTTGTGGATGGATGGATAGATGGATGGATGGATGGACGGACGGATGGATGGGTGGATGGATGTATGGTTATGTATGGATACGTATGGTTATGGATGGATTGATGGATTGATGGATGGATGGATGGATGGATGTATGGATGGATGGATGGATGGATGGATGTAGTGTTATGTATGTAATGTTGTGTATTGTTGTGTATTGTTATGTATTGTTATGTATTCATACGTATTGTTATGTATGGTTATGAATTGTTCTGTATTGTTATGTATTGTGATGTATTGTTATGTGTTGTTATGTATTGTTATGTATTGTTATGTATTGTTATGTATTGTTATGTATTGTTATGTATTGTTATGTATTGTTATGTGTTGTTATGTATTGTTATGTATTGTTATGTGTTGTTATGTGTTGTTATGTATTGTTATGTGTTGCTATGTAGTGTTATGTATTGTTAGGTATTGTTACGTATTGTTATGTATTGTTACGTATTGTTTTGTATTGTGATGTATTGTTATGTATTGTTATGTATTGTTATGTATTGTTACGTATTTTTATGTATTGTTATGTGTTGTTATAAGTATTTTCATGTATTGTTATGTATTGTTATGTATTGTTATGTGTTGTTATTTAGTGTTAAGTATTGTTATGTATTGTTATATATTGTTATGTGTTGTTACGTATTGTTACGTATTGTTATGTATTGTTAAGTATTGTTATGTATTGTTGTGTATTGTTCTGTGTTGTTACGTATTGTTATGTATTGTTATGTATTGTTATGTATTGTTATGTATTGTTCTGTGTTGTTACGTATTGTTTTGTGGTGTTATGTATTGTTATGTATTCTTATGTATGGTTATGGATGGATTGATGGATGGATGGATGTATGGATGGATGGATGAATGGATGGATGAATGGATGTATGGATGTAGTGTTATGTAGTGTTATGTAGTGTTATGTAGTGTTATGTAGTGTTATGTAGTGTTATGTATGTAATGTTGTGTATTGTTATGTATTGTTATGTATTGTTATGTATTGTTATGTATTGTTCTGTGTTGTTACGTATTGTTTTGTGGTGTTATGTATTGTTATGTATGGTTATGGATGGATTGATGGATGGATGGATGTATGGATGGATGAATGGATGGATGGATGGATGTATGGATGTAGTGTTATGTAGTGTTATGTAGTGTTATGTAGTGTTATGTAGTGTTATGTAGTGTTATGTCGTGTTATGTATGTAATGTTGTGTATTGTTATGTATTGTTATGTATTGTTATGTATTGTTATGTATTCATACGTATTGTTATGTATGGTTATGAATTGTTATGGATGGATGGATGGATGGATGAATGGACGGATGGATGTAATGTAATGCAAGGTGCAATGCAATGCAATGTAATGCAATGCAATGTAATGTATATGTATGATGGATGTATGGATGTATGGATGTATGGATGTATGGATGTACGGATGTACATGTATGGATGTATGGATGTATGGATGTATGGATGTATGGATGTATGGATGTATGGATGTATGGATGTATGGATGTATGGATGTATGGATGTATGGATGTATGGATGTATGGATGTATGGATGTATGGATGTATGGATGTATGGATGTATGGAGGTATGGATGTATGATGTATGGATGTATGGATGTATGGATGTATGGATGTATGGATGTATGGATGTATGGATGTATGGATGTATGGATGTATGGATGTATGGATGTATGGATGTATGGATGTATGGATGGATGTATGGATGTATGGATGTATGGATGTATGGATGTATGGATGTATGGATGGATGTATGGATGTATGGATGTATGGATGTATGCATGGATGTATGGATGTATGGATGTATATGATGTATGGATGTATGGATGTATGGATGTATGGATGTATGGATGTATGGATGTATGGATGTATGGATGTATGGATGTATGGATGTATGGATGTATGGATGTATGGATGTATGATGTATGGATGTATGGATGTATGGATGTATGTATGTATGGATGTATGGATGGATGTATGGATGTATGATGTATGGATGTATGGATGTATGGATGTATGGATGTATGGATGTATGGATGTATGGATGTATGGATGTATGTATGGATGTATGGATGTATGAATGTATGATGTATGGATGTATGATGTATGGATGTATGGATGTATGGATGTATGGATGTATGGATGTATGGATGTATGGATGTATGGATGTATGGATGTATGGATGATGTATGGATGTATGATGTATGGATGTATGGATGTATGGATGTATGGATGTATGGATGTATGGATGTATGGATGTATGAATGTATGGATGTATGGATGTATGGATGTATGGATGTTTGGATGGTATGGATGTATGGATGTATGGATGTATGGATGTGGATGTATGGAGTCGGGATGGATGTATGCGATGTATGGATGTATGGATGTATGGATGTATGGATGGATGTATGGATGTATGGATGTATGGATGTGGATGTATGATGTATGGATGTATGGATGTATGGATTATGTATGGCATGATGGATGTATGGATGTGGGAGTATGATGTATGGATGTGGATGTAGATGATGTATATGTGCATGTATGCATGTATGGATGTATGGATGTATGGATGTATGGATGTATGCATGTATGGATGTATGGATGTATGGATGTATGTTATGTATGGTTATGTATGGTTATGTATGGTTATGAATTGTTATGGATGGATGGTTATGGATGGATGTTTCGATCTCACCGGATCTGGTCATATCTTATCCATCCACGGCATCCGCAACGCTACCAAGGGGCGATGATCAAGGCGCAGGACACACAGGTCAGCAGCAGCAGCAGGCTGACCTCTGGCGCGTTGAGGTGGAAAATCTACAGAAAAACCATGGCTTTTCCTCATGAAATATCGAGAAAACCATGGTTTATACAGGTAAAACCCATGGTTTCCTGCATTTTTCCACCAATCCAGGGATAGACATCACCAAAAAGATCAACGAGTAATTCACCATTTACTCTTGTTGAGATGTCGCTTTTCGATCTACTTGGAGGTTATTTGGATATGGATACCCTCTGGTAATGACTAACATGGCTGGAAAATTTTGACTTTTGATGTAACACATGGGATAATGGGGAGTTTTATTGGACATAGCAACCCCCAGTCATAGAGATAGGAAAGCTAGAAACCTGGAAAGTAAGAAAACATCATCGAAATTCATCGAACCATCCCGGAAACACAGTCCGGCATCTTTTTGGGGGGTACTATACCCTCTGGCAATGGACAATTCCCCAGTTAGTTCGAGAGTTAATTGTCCTATTCAAATGCTGATTTGTAGAGGATTTCCGAACTAAACCATGTTTGATTATATACGAGTTTTTTTTCTGGGTTACCTACTAGGGCCCTAGGGCTGCCTAAGGTTTGAATCGACTGGGAAGATCCTCCAAGCCCGCTTGATGGATGTAGATGTGGATGTTTTTTTTTAAAAAAAATCCAAGTTCATAGGGTTTCATCAGGCCTTATTTATCCAACATTTTTGTGAAATAGTTGCCTTTGGTTTCTGTGAATGTTGGGCCTATGTTTTCTACCCAGCCAGTGGACCCATCCGGTGTTTTTTCAGCTGCGGTGGATGCGGTGCTTAGCCCGATGGAAGCAAAACCATGGGAAAAACCACAGATTTCACCCAGAATGAATATGTTGAGATATATATATATAGATCGAACATGATCAAACTGAGTAAAAAGCATAAATATGACATTAGTATAAAAGATTATAAAAGTGAAGCATCTATAACTTGATTGGAAATCTGTTTGCAGTTCCAACAACAGTAACAATGCGTTTGGCTAACCACCATTATTGGATCTTGTTCGACTAGTCACATCCGCCACTGTGTCACCCAAATTTGGGGCACTTGGACATTCATCAAACTGAGATTTAAAAAAAAAAAAGATTTTATCCAAGTAGCTGGGAGCAAGTTCCATCACTACTACCCTCTGGTAAACTAACATAGCTATTGAAAATGGCCATTTATAGTGGATTTTCCCATTAAAAATGGTGATTTTCCATAGCTATGTTAAATTACCAGAGGGTATACCTAGGCTTAATAGCCACAGCGACATATGTTCCCGTATAATTATCGCCTTACCATGCCTTACCTCTGATAATCTAGGACCTGCAAATCTGCAAATGAAAAGAAAAAATGCCCCAAGATGCCCGAAGTGTCGGCAAATCAAGTAGTTTTCGAGCCTTGTGAATCAGCACTTCATTTTTTGGGGCCCCAATTAGCCAACTACCCAGTTGAATCGAACCCCCAATGATCCATACGTCTCCAGACTTTGTAACCCGCAACGGTCTGCCGCCTTTTCGGGCTGATGCTTCATCAGTCATCCAAGTCACGGTCACTGCCGCCCCATCGTTGCTCTTGCGCCGCTTGGCCATCTCGCGACATGCCAACCAGTGTACGAAAGGTGAGTTGCAGTCATCTTGAAGGATACCAGTCAAAGATTGACAGAGAATTTTGCAGTTAGTGTAAAGCCGCCACTGGCCATATGTATGCCATATGTCATAACATGTCATAATTCTTTACCTCAAAGCTGAGTGGTCCCAGATGCATCGGCACTGTGGGGTCCACATGGCATACATGAACCTATCTTCACCGCGCCGATGTCTTTAGTATCCAATTGGTGCTGTCTGTTTGCCAATTCACGGGTTCTCTGTTGCAATTTTCCCTTGAAGCTCTTGCAGCACCTGCTCTTCGGCATATCTCAGAAAATGGCCGCATGATGTCAACCACATATTATGACCCTTTAAAAAAAAAAAAGTGTGGATGGAAGATATCCTGCACCAGTTGGTAGATGGTTTATCCCGTTATAATCCCAGTATTTACATCTATTTACAGTGTTTCATAGTTACCAATAGTTACCAGTATTTCTTCAATAGTTACCAATAGTTACCAACTGGTGTAGGATTGCTTCCATCCACAGTATGTTTCATGTGTCTGGAAGTCTCCCCTATTTCTCCCACAACTCAGGCGAGAAATCGGGATTCAGCCCGAGCGGCTATCCAGCAGGACATTGCTGTATCCATAGCATTTCAGGATTGGCGTATGGCAATATATGGCTACATATATATATATACATATGTAACTATATATATTATTAAATATATGATCAAATACATAATTATATACATGAAATTATATATGTATGTAATTATATATATATGTAATTGTATAGATAGATATATATATATAATGATATAATACGATATATATATATAATGATATATACCGTATGGCAACTCATGCTCTCAACTTGAGACATAAAAGTGAACCTCCCATTTCCAGGACCTCTCTCTCTCTCTCTCCAGCACCTTTTGTCGCCAACGACGAGCTGTTCGCGCCCTGACCGTGTTGATCAGCGGCATCCGACTGGCACCGACTGGGCAGATGTGAAACGCAACATGGGCACCTCATCAACTGGCACCGACTGGGCCCTAAGATCTCGGATTCTGTCGCAGTATGCAGGTTGCTGGAAAACCTCAATCATCGTCAATCGCCTTTTCCCACGCCGAACAAACACACCGCCCTGTCTGCGTGAATTCGACTTCTTCGAAAGTCATAACAAAGGGTGATGCGATTTTGCAGCCCACCGAAGTTCTTTAAGTCTTGAAGTCAAGCCATTTTTCTCCAGCTTGCCGGCTAAAACATCCTAAAACCAACAAATCCTCTGTGAAAAGCCACGACTGCTGATTGTTGCTGGAATGTATCTTGGATAAAATATGGAGAACTTCGCCAACCGATTCGACAATCTTGGGACAGGATGGTGACTCATAGGGCGGGGTGCGCCCCCGGAAAATTACATGGCCGGCCTACAATCCTACAGATACCAAAGTCAACTGCAGGGCGAAGTTGGCAGACATATCAATGATTTGGGTTTCAATTCCATCCGGTATATGGGTATATATTCACTACGTATTGGGGTAGTTATGTCTAGTCATCAACACAGTTAACTATTAATCAACGAGAGTAGTACCCGATGATCTACTTAATGGTTAATCAACCATACTATCATATATTCCACGTTCATCCCTTCATCGGTTTGGCCGCAAAAAAAAGCTGCGACACACGCAAACCGCGCCGCGGTTTCAGCTGGGTCCCGACGCGTTTTTGTTCGGGTCATCTTCGGCCAGTGGCCACATGTTTTTTCGGTTTGATCATTTTTGACCTTGATCGACGTTCAGCAGAATGGTTCGCAGATTTGGTGATTTATGGTGATTTCAACATGGAAAAACACACCAAGAGAGGGAAAAACAACCATTTGAGATTTCTCGGCGGCGCCGCGTCACGTAAAACGAGGAGGAACCACCCTGACAAAACGATGAGGATCAGGGGATCCGATATGATCCGATGGTGTCCACTTTGCCAAGATGGCACCAATCGACGAAAGCCACGAAGATTTCATGGAGTTGATTTGCTGGCAATTTTTGAGCACAATTTTTGAGATGGGATTTTTTCGCTGGGACAATCAACATCATCAAAAAAAACATAAAGCTCGATATGCAGCCGAGGCATTTTCCGAACTACAGTGCGATACCTCTGCGTTGAAGGTTTCAATGCGATGGTGTGTCGCGTTGAATGATGGCCAAATCATTTTTTCGCAATGTACTGACAAATCCAGATATTCTAGCACCCCAAAATAGTCCAAAATATATCCAACAGATTCCCAAAGCTGGAAACCAGAAGATATTTTTGAGGTAAATATCATCTTCAACAAGCCGGGTTGCTCCCAACACCCAAATGCTCCCAACACATCCCCCTGGGACCTGGGGAACATCTGGGACCCCCACTTGCGCGGTGTGAGGCCACTGCTTGCGGCGCCGCGGAAGCTCTCACTCTTCCTGAATCGAGGCTGGGGCAAAACTGAGCAGAAATGGGTCGGTCTGAGGGGGGATACCCCACTAAATCCACTAAATCAGCTATAAAAGATAGGGAAAATGACGAACTCCAAGGAGTTGTTGCCTAAAGATTCGGAGCTTTAGCATGTCTTCGGTTCAGCTTCCAAAGGTCTGAAGCTTTGTTTCAGCCTCAATATGTTTTGGGCGCCTCAGTATGGTTTATATAGTTATCTGGGTTTTTTGTGGGATCACAATGAGATGATAATGGATAAAAGTCAATAATTCGATAGAAAGTGGATAATAGAAATGGATTAGTAATGGGATACGATAATCCCATCAGACCTTTTCATAATCATTGGATAGTAGAAATAATATGAAATAATGGTTCACAATGGCTAGCCATCCTCATTGACAACAATGGGATACTTAATGAATTAATGGTATATTAATGGGATATAATTGATACAATGGACATTCTCTCTCCAATGATCCAACAGACCTGGAAAATCAGCCGTAGTTCAATGATTTTCCCAGCTATGAAGCGTCATTTTTGGGGGAATCCTCCCAGCAGTCCCCATGTTTGATGACGAGGCTATCCGTTTTGGAGGCTGGTAGCGAATAACCCCGTGATGGGTTGAGCAATCCAAGCGCGCGTCAAACCTTTAAGTTAATCATTGGTTGCTCCTGGTTGGTGGCTCAATTTGGTATGGATATGTATGGATTCTAGTATGGATGGCTTTTCAAAAATCTGTGAATATTCAATAATATTCAGCACAAACAGATTTTCTCACCCTGTCACCAATCATCGGCCAAACAAAAATTGGCGTTTCCGAAAATAGGGGTCCCCCCAAATCATCCAAGTCATTACCATTTTAAAAAACCGTTTGGGGGTACCCCAATGACCTAGGAAACCTCTATGTCTTTAGATCAACTTGGAAGCTGGCAGATCCAGGGGTCCAGTTTCATGCCACCGAAGTTCCCAAGTCGCTCAGGCAGCGGCGACAGTTGAGCGGACCTCGAGGCGTTGAGGGATCTTCCGCTTCAAGTTGCAGAAACACATCTACAAGCACACACACACATACATATATATATATATATATATGTATATTGTAATCATCCTGAAGTAGATAGAAAACAGGATCTTCAAAGAAAAGTCCATTTTAGTGATTTTAGTGAGAATGTTTGGAAATTCCACATTCATCCATATTCTATCTACTCTAGGATTAGTATATTTATCGAGTTTGGTATACATGCACAACAATAAGTTTGCATGATTTTGCATGTACGTGCGGCTTTGTCCAAATTGTCACCCATGACTCCATGACCACCGAAAAGCCAAGCTTCACCCCGAAAACAAGTGCCATATCCATAGGATTTTGACCCGAATTGCCGGATCCTGGGGATTTACCATGGAACCAGGGGAATCGGACTGTGTGGCGCCGTCGATCTGCTTGCGCTTGGTGCTACCTGGCGTGCTTAAGGGCGATGAACATTGCCATGGAGGCACACTGAACCAACTGTTTTCTGGGGATAGAATAGGATTTTTATGGATTTTTAATGGGATGCATAGTATGTTTACATATAAAATCATATAGATATATATATATATAGCCACTGTGATATTTGGGTCTATCGAAAAATGGGAGATACCTCAAAATTGTAATGTCAAGAGGAAAGCTATGGAAAAACTATGATCGACAATCAAATTCGGGGCTACGACTAGAAAATCTTAGACACGCAAGTAAGATAAAGAAGTGTGGAAATGTTGGTGAGAAACTGGCTTATCCCCCCATGGTATGTTCTACCTGGACCTGCCTAGTATATTTCATTATTTTTCTTGAAGCCATACCACCGCTCAAGTAAGAAGCCCCATGGCCACCCCAGGCATGATATTCCATCCAAGGAATTTCACAAGAAAAACGTTGGTTTTGAACATCCAAGACAAGGGTCCTGTAAATTCTCCGTGGAATTCTGGAGAACACAGTCACTTTGGTCGTTTGGTCACTTTCTACTGATGTCAAGCGCGGACACATAAACCTTAGGGGGTATCGTTTACAGCTCCCCAGTGAATCTGCTCGAATCTGCTCCAAAAATGGGAGCGCCCCAATGATCAACAGCCCCTTGGGCTGTTAAGTAAAATCTGGGCTTGGCCCTAGCAGTAGCAACCATCCCACTTGTGTCCAATAATTACCTATCAATTAATTATTAATATCAATGTTGTGTTGCTTAAGTCCCTATCAAATGGCTGGTTTGTATCCCATTATGTCCCATTTTGGAGTTCACTCTTTTTTTTAACTTGAATGGCTAAACATACCGTTGAATCCCCATGTTAATGGTAAGTGCCTAAGTAAGTGCATCATGTTTTGTTGGTTATATAATCCCCATGATTGGTGGTTTACATCCCCCCTGAAGTTCCGAAGTCCCAGAAAAAACGGATGGTTTTACTCCTCCGGCCGCTACCTAAGGCAGAGCGGGCTCTTTGTACACACGCTTAACTGGCTGGCGTGTTCAACAAGGCACACAAAAGTATCACAATAAATGTGGATATGCATACCGATATATATTCACTATTAATCATGATGATGCACATCATTATCCTCATAACTACTATCATGTTTATCATGATTACTATAATGGTTGTGATTATTATGATTGGTTTTATCGCTGTGGTTACTGCAGTATATATATATATATGTGTGTGTGTGAATTCCATATATGTACATACATATTATATATATATGTGTGTGTGTATTTGTGTATGTATGGCATACTAAATCATATATGACCTATGCACATATATGAGAGCATCATCCCCAAAAGGGGAACTGGCTTGAAAGCACCATCCAGTCTGGGTGAAACTGGGGCCGACACGCGGCCGAGATTTCAAGATCTTCGAGCTACATCCATTTTGCGGTCAAAAAACACACCGGCAAATCATGTTTCAAAAGGGGTCAAAGCTAATGAAGTCTCAATAAAAAAGAAGAATGGCAACCCAACTGACACAAAAAAAGCTTGTCACAGGACCATCGATATATAGAATTCCCATGAATTCTCCATTTAGACGTTGATGATGTCGTGTGACTAGCCAGCACGCGTTTTCGTGACCCTTCGTCAAGCATTCTTTTACATCGAAGCCTCCTTGGGAGTCCGACTGATCAGTTCTTCCTGGAAAAGTCTGTACATCGTACCTTAGCTTCCCACAATCGAAGCATTCAAAAATGTGTTGAACATCTTAAAAAAGTCCCGTCCAAGCAAAGTTGTGAACTTAGTTAACTTATGTTCCTTCTTTTTTCAACTACGAAACATTCTAACACGGTAAAAAAAAAAAAACGCTGAAGCACATGGCAAGGCCTTCCATGGATTGTATTTTTCCGATCGTCCAAGGGACGCACCAGGTTGGGAGGCTCCACTTCCTGTCGGCTCATCCTGAAGCCACGTCGCTGATGATGAGGATTTAGGGTCCTTTTTGGTGCATCCCAAATAGTGGTGTTTTTTGAGGTTTATATCCATTTGCAACAGGTGTGTCCCACATCTTAGATGTGGCTTATTTCATGTATTTCAATGTGTTTCATATGCTTATGACATGATATTACTCATGTCGTTTGCCACTTACCAAATCTTACCAGGCGCTCGGTGCTTGGTACCTCCGTACCACGGCTTACCAGGCTGGTGTTGTTTGACCAAGTCGCCGGATGAATTCCAATTCCTGACTTCGCACCACAGATTTCACGCGCGAATCTTCGCTTGGAGGCTTGGCTGCATGCTGGAACCTGGGCGCAACGTGCGTGCGCAACATCGCGTCAGACGTGTTGATTTCAACCAGGATTCTGAAGCTCCGGTAAAATCCGACGTGAACTCAATGGGAATTTCAGGATCCTAAAATGGAGGTCCTGTACCATATAAGGCCATATTTTGTGGTGATATTCCCTTACATAGGCCTAAAAAATAGGCCTTATATATGGTAGGTACCTCCAATCAATCGGTTTCTGAAATGGCCATTGATGAATGATGCGATTTTTCTCCCATTGAGAGTTGATTTGTCTATGAAAACCCCCATCGAGTTTGGCGAGTTTCCATTGCCACGTTACCGGAGGGTGGTAACCACAAAACATCACAAAACCTGGATGGGTTTTGGCCCACGGCCCACAAAATACGTCTAACCAGGGCAGTTGGAGCATTCAAGATGTTCCAAAGCTTGACACACAAAGTAGCTTATTAAAATTACTAAACCATACTAAACTCCAAGGTTTTTTTGTGAAGTAGAATCTTCATGAATCTTCATATTAATGAATGATATGAATGTGTCATTTTTCTCCCACAAAAAAATCACTTTCCAACCTCCTCATCTCCAAGTTTCCCACCTGGGGGATGTGTCTATCTATCTATTGGGGGATCATTCACCGGCTTAGTCCCATGAAACCTCCAAAAAACACATCAGTTAACTCAGTTAACCATCAATGACCATCTGAGAAACAAAAAACAGTTAATAACATTTAATAACATGGGGGAGAATTAAAAAAAAAACATCCATTGATCCTATCATCCATCACCATCATCACCATCCCGAGCTGCAGATTCGCCGCGATCTCTTTGATTTTGCTCTGCTGCGCCATCTCTCCGAAGGTGGAGCGGATCAATTCCTCAGCCTCCTGCACTGACTTGGGCATCAACGAGGCCGACAACATGGAGGGCACCTGGAAACCAGGGGAGCTGGTGAGATGCACCCTGCGGGAGGAAAAAAACATGTTCTTTTTGGGTGGTGGTAATGTCTTGAAAGGTCTTGACAATCAAGCAGTTTTGTGCCAGCTTTTTTGGGGGAACACCAGTTTTAGAGGCTGGATGAATCTGGTTCAAGCATAGAAGAATTCAGAAACAAGCATATGTTCCATCAATTTCCAGGATGAAGACCCTTACTTTCCATCGTCTACAGTGAAGTCACTATTCAGATGACATAGGGGATACGAAGGTGGCCCGGTAAATTTTGACCCTCGCAGATGTTTTTTTTTCATCTGTGCATCCATGGCCCCCACATAACTTATGACAATCATATCATATCATATCATATATCATATCATATCATATCATATCATATCATATCATATCATATCATATCATATCATATATATGTGTGTGATGTGTGTGTGTGTAAAGACCGGTGTATAATTCCCCCAAGCTAGCCTGCTTCTTTTCATGTGATTTCCTCTAACTTCATGACTGCGAACTGATGCACCTGGTCTTGAAGTCTGGCCCAACAAAAATCTTCATCTGATAGGATGGTGATGAAAAAAATATAAAAACACATATTAGACATGTAGGAACATTTAAAAAACACACACACACACGCATTCTTTTCTCAGCGCCTTCTCCCTCTTGTTAGCTTCCAGTTGGGCAGCATGGCCTAGAGCTTGTCCTCCATGCATTCCTGGTTGGCGTGGGGCTATCCTTCGGAGATATTCTACGAACCCAAAGTTACCTTCAGAAAGGGTTCCCCTTCATTCCCAGACAAAATGCCACCACTTCGCTTTTATATGTGGGTAAAACAGCAATAACCATCCCCCAGTCATCACCATTTTTATAGATGCTATGTTTACCATTCCCAAGAAAATGGGTGGTAAAAATGGCATTGTTTTACCCATATTACTGTAATCCTTTTTCAATCTGCCATATCCTGCCATTTTACCCATCGGCCTGGAGCTTCATTGGCCTCTAAGTGGCTGTGCATCCACCTGGGGAGGGGATTTTTTTGGCCGCGAATCCCCAAAATGTCGAGACATGTTGGCCCCACGTGTCTCAGGTACGTAGGTTCTATGTAAGCTATATAGATGTTGAAGCTATCAACCGCTACAAATGCGGTGGTAATCAGAATTGCCCCTTATAATTTGAAAGGTGACAATTCCAAGATGTAAGACTCAAGAAGCGGCAAAATCAAGTCGGGGATGCGGACTTTGCAATACAATGATTGTTCTAAATTTCTAAATTGTTCTATCTACATCTATAGCAACCCCGAAAAAAGATAGAAAAGTCACTTATCACTATATAGATGTTAGATTCTGATTTTACTCTTCTATCTTTCTTGGGGATTACTATATATGTTTTGATGTTTATGCGGGAGATAGACTCGAGCCCGGATGGGCTCCAAAGAACAAGACCAAGCCACAAACGTGGAGGCTTCTTTACGGGAGAGGGAGGAGAAAAAAAAAACAGAATCCTTGGAATACCACCCATGATATGATGACATGGGATATCAATGGTGGTTAGTGCAAACCACCACTTTATCCCCATTGATCTCCCCATGGTCATCTGCAAATGATGGCCAATGATAACCGATAATGACCAACGATGACAATGATGACCAATGGCAAATTGCTCCAGTGGTGACCAAGGGTGCCCATTTTCCGAGCCATGCCCTGCGCCAAGTAACTTGGGTAAGCGCATCTCACGAACGAGCTTCACTTTTTCAGGTGGACGCACACCCAGGGTTGGCAGTGGCAACACGCCGCATTCTGCAGGACGACAGAGGTCCATGGCTTTCAAGACCTCAGGATGTGCTCGGACTCGCTGGTACCTAAGAATAGTATTATATGGGCGTAATCTGATGTAAACGATACACTTATGCTGCAGCTAGAAGATGTAGAATGATGTAGAATGTATCCTAAATCAAATGTACCTGGCATAAGTAGTATGCATTAGATGCATTAGTAAGGCACACAGAAGACTCAGAAGACCCATAGAGGGAATATATGGCATATTGCCTACTTTAACATACATGGTATTGCCATTGAGGAGGTGCTTTCAATACATCATTTCGCCGCACAACTGGACAGAAGTGGATCGATGTTTAAAAACTCCTGCCAGCACAGCACATCGTGCATGTGTTTAAATCTGTTCCCAAACATACTCCAGGAAAATATGGAAAAGTATGGGAAAATAACATCCATGTACCGTAAGTGCCCCAGTTGCGGGGCGAATGGGACCCATTCATAAGGACCCCAGTCCCCAGCCCGTGGGTTTTTGAAGCATACTACGGCCGCACCAAGAGACATGATTTCGGAATTTGTCGATATCCTTAGGCCGCAGTCAAAGTTGCTACACAATGAGTCCTGAACTCAACAAGCATCCCAGCATTCATGTTGGAGTCAATGGGCCTCATCCAAGTGCTGTCGCCACATCAGTTGCATAAGGTTGTGTCTAGATCTACCCAAATCTATGTCTATATGATTCTATATGTAATTATATATATATATCTAAAGATTGGCCCATGTGGGAAACATTGGGGAAAAAAGTTCAATGGTCACTGCTGGGCAAGGGCTTGCACGTATCCCCAGGAGAATCCTGGCCCCTGTAGAAGTCATGTCTCAAACGTTCAATGGCTTTGACATGCCTTGATAAGTTTACTCCTCATCCTCCTCATCCTCCTCATCCTCAAATCATCATCATCATCACCATCATCATCATCATCATCGTCGTCGTCGTCGTCGTCGTCGTCGCCGTCATCATCATCATCATCATCATCATCATCATCCTCATCATCATCATCCTCATCATCATCATCATCATCATCATCATCAAGCTCCCTCTGACTGGGTTATCAACCGTTTTTGTTCATGCATTATTTCGCGCGATACTGTGGATGGAAGAAAATCCTGCTCCAATGGGATTGTAATGATGGGCTCCCCAGCGACCCCAAAACCCCAGCGTAATTCTGTGGTTGATCATGTGTTATTATCATACATCACTATCATGTGTGTTTTCAATGTACCACCATCCAGTAGAATCATTAGAGCTACAATATGGCTTCCTATGGTTTGCTGTATATATATATACATATATATATATACATATACATATACATATATATATATATGTATGTATCAATTACCCTGGTCATTCTCCTCATCACTTAAAGCAGCTCAAGTATCCCATGTTCAGCCTCCCAACATCTACAAACCCAAGCCGTTGGTTCGTTTGTGTTTTCCAACGTCGCAATTTTTATCAACTATTACTTCGCATTAACTCATCGAATCTCTTCACCGTATCTGGTTGGTGGTATACCTACCCCTCTGAAAAATATGAAAGTCAGTTGGGATGATGACATTCCCAATATATGGAAAAATAAAAAATGTTCCAAACCACCAACCAGTACTTAGTATTTCAAGGTTTCCCACTTTTTCTATCTTATTTTGGGTTTGCTTTAAATATATGCTTGTTTCCAGAATATGCATCATATAATGGAAAGTCAAAAAAATCCAAAACTTCCAGTCACCAACCAGCTATCTTTTCGAAACCTTTTTTTTGTTTCGCCAAGTGTCGTCCTTGAATCCCGGACTCGAGTTCTCCACCACCGCGAAGCTTTCGTTCATCGTCAGGCGATGCTGCTGGATGGGTCCCAGACCGCGGCCCGCCTGACGCTGCATCAGCTCCAACATGTTGGTCACCTGGCGAAAAAAAACATGCCGTGGAAAGCGTGGTGACGACGGATGGTATACCTCATATGTATGCATTCTATTGTATATATATATATATATTTATTTATTTATTTATCTATCTATTTGTTTATTTATTTAATTTCTGTAATTACTTATTTATTTATTTATACATTTATACATTTATTGTATAGATATAGATAGAATATATATATATACATGCATTATGTTAGCAAGTGGATTACATATCTATGTGTATATATATCTATGTAATTACACCTAGATACGGGTTAGAACATGTTAGAACAACAACTATGGTTGATTACAAGGAAAGAGTCAAGAGGTTCTTATGAACTACTTTTTTTGGTTTTGACATCATGTGAAATTAACCATCCTGACAAACATAGGAATGGAAGTCAAGTTTCAACTCTCCTTGCCCAGAGCGATTAAAGTGGGCACACCGTACACAAAGGCGAAACATCTTAATTTGGTCGTGGCAAACTCTGAAAGCATGAAATCAAATCAGAAATTTCATGAAATTGGAAAATCACCATTTTTTTATGGGAAAATCAACTATAAATGGCCATGTTCAGTAGCTTTTTGTATGTTTACCAACTGCCATGGAATTCGTGTGAAATCATGGAACTCCGCTTTTGCACCCCATGAAACACCGCCTTTTTGAAGCGGAAGAAATCCTCGGTATCTGACGAGTCTGGGGGACTCGTAAGGCCCACAATCACTGACATCCATTGTTTTGGGGCCCGGGCAAGTTTCAAATACTCAAATGAGGTGCGCCAATGTATCTGGTTTATATTGAGTATCGTTAAAGAGTGTTAACTAGTTTACAGCTTCACCCATTTCTGGACAAGCCTTTGTCGATGCTATTGAATTCTCTTGTCTGATGGTTTTCTCAATGCATCAAGGCTGAGGGATGCCAGGGATGCCAAGTGTCTATGGTGATTTTCCGGTTGTAGACCTTCACAGTGTCGTAATCAGACCTCAGAAGGCACGGTCTGGCACGCTCCGCAGGCAGCACGCATGACCCCGGAAGTCCTCATGACCACCATCCGAGGATCAAGGCCCCCAAAAACATAGAGTAGGACGAGAACTGCCATCCACTGAAATCTGGAAATCCAACAAAGCTGCATCGTCACCAAGGTATACCAAGGCACCAAAATCTCAGCGAAGGTAAGGACTGCTGCAGCGACCTCTGCAAATGCATACAGGGATTCACCAGCTGGCTAAATCGATAGCAGAGCTCTATGAAGTCCTGCGAGATGGGCAGAGGTGAAGTGGATCCATTCATTTCATGGGGGGCTGTGAGATTTTAACCTTGTCTACCGGACCGTTTCCGGTCATTTTTTGGGTGATCGACATTCAAACATTGCGTATGAATGAGCACAACACGTTCATTAAAGAGTTTCGTATCTTCCCGACCTCCTCATGCATATAACCCATTCGAACCCATCTGCGCAGCGCTCCTGCATCCGGTACTTGGCCAAGGGGACCTTGGCAAAATCGATGCTTTGGGTATTGAAGGCCGCCACCGGACACGAGTAGTAGTCATCATAGAACTCTTCCAGCTGACTGCTGGTCAAGTAATGTACCTGAGCGAACTGAAGAAGGCAGGTTGTCCCGGCCAAAAAAAAACATGCGATAATAATAATAATGATAATAATGATGATAATAATAATATATAATAATAATAATAATAACAAACACAGAAACAATAATAAGAGGAGTTATAATAACATTACGTATAATTATAGCATATTATATATATTATAGTCTAAGTGGGATTCCTGGTCGAACAGCTGTTACCCTCTTGTTTTTTCCAAGCTGAATATGGAGCGAGTCCCCATTTGTAACAGGAAAAACGCCTCTTATGGTCACCTACCCTCTGGTAAATTAACATAGACCCTGGCAGATAGGGGTTGGAAGACTAGTTTCCATTAAAAATTGGTGACTTTCAGGGTCTATGTTAATTTACCAGGGGGTATAATTAAATGGATTTCATCTGGGATTTCCCGTTGCCCAGGCCCCAACAAAGCCACCCTTGACCCTGGTTTCAGGGAAAATGACAGGAAACCACGGTCCAAGAAGCTCCTTAGCTCCCTCCCACCTGATAGGTAACTCCCTGGTAAATTAACATAGACCCTGAAAATCACCAATTTCTAGTGAAAACTAGTCTTCCAACCCCTATCTGGCAGGGTCGAACTGTTAATTTACTGGAGGGTAACCCCTTAACATCCAGTCATCAGTGCGGAAGTTGATGATACTCCGGTGATGCCAAGCGAGGTGCTGTCCAACTTTTCATCTCTTTGCAGACCACGTAGAACATCACCTGGCACAACTCCAGCTTCGACAAGGCGCAGAACTGCATCGTCACCTCATGGAAATGCGGAGCTGGTGGATCTGAGGCTGACCAGGACAGGGATGTCCTAAATGGAGGGATAAAAAATGATAAAAGTGTGGCCTAAATTTTATCATGGGTGAAACCTCCATAAATGCTTGAAGTATGGTATGAAGTATTGTCCTACCCTCTGGTAAACTAACGTAACTATGGAAAATCACCATTTTTAATGGGTAAATCCACTATAAATGGCCATTTTTCAATAGTTTTTTGTATGTTTACCAGAGGGTAAACCTCCATTTTCCTATGGTTTTCCTAGGATTTTCCCATTTAACATGACATTTGACATACTGTAAAGGGCTGAAACCATGTGAACCCCCTCCATACTTCCGGCATCGGCCGGGTGACATACAGGAAACCATCCCACGTCACTGTCTCCTTGAAACCGGCCTTGGCAACGGCTGGCGCGCCCCCGACTTGATGGTTTGAAAGAAAATAGTATGTATGATGATAGGTGTATATGGCGTGTATATATATATATATATATTACATTCAAAGATATATAGATATATAGATATGTATATATATATGTATACAATATGTGTGTGTGTGTGCACATACACCTTTGCAAAATGTGATGATGTCTGAGACTTCGCAATCTCTGCTTCAACTTCGCCTCAACCCATTTGCCATATCCCATCCAGAAGCCCAAGGGGCCAGGTCAAGGAGAAGAATCATGATCTTGGCTACCCACTTGCCTCGCGCCCAAAGGCACCAAGCGATTTTGGTCATTGCGACAATGTATACATATACACATATATATATACATATGCATATACATATGTATATATATATATATACATGATACTACTCACAGTTAGATGGCAGCATAACTTTACATAGCATAGTAAAAATATAATGATATAATGCAATGTATATATATATATGTACATATATACATACATATATTTATACATATATATATATATCCAATAGTGTGCACATATAATATACTCTTAGTGTAAAATTAAGAGTCATGACTGACAGTAGAAGGGTCTAAATGTATGTATATATATATGTGTGTGTGTGTACATATATAGATATTAGATATAGATATAGATATACCGTATATCTGATGTACCTGGATATGCACGAGCATCGTACCAAAAGTAAGGCGTTTTGCCAGCAAAAATAGCAAGGGAATGAAGCCCTTAGAGCTGATCATGGATTGACCATTGGGCAAGGTGACAAGCCATTGGCAAAGCGTTTTTTTTGAACTACCCCAAAGCCGGGATTTAAATCTCTGTCGATTTTCATCATATCCCAAAGTCTTGAGATTTCCCGATTTCCCAAATGGCAAAATTCAGCATAATCTTTAAGTCCAATTCAGCAAAGTCTTAAGATCCAGAAGGGTGTCAGCAAAATTCAGCGCTCAATGCCACCTGGCTACGATGATTCTTCACCAGTCGCGTCATGCTCAAGCTGCTCACTTCATGTGGCCCTACCCGCAGTGTGATGGAGTCATACTGCTTCAATCGTTTGAAGGTCTTGTGAAACTGCATCACCAAACCTCAACGGAGAAACGTTGGTCATGACAGTTGATACCCTAGGCAGAAAGATGTGGAAAACCCATGGGGAAACCTTAGGAAATGATCTACAAATGATGGATGAAAACCAGATCTATGTTAGTTGAGGGGAGGGTACCACTTGATTTGGGCTTTGAACTTTCATGATGTCATCTTTCGTCTTGTTCTTTCACAATCCCCCAAAAAAAACAATTAGGAACCTAACCCCCAGTCAACCATCCCAAATTGGAAGTTCATGATTGGGTTTTCCACATGAGTCATGTCATTGTCTCTTTCAGAATCACGGTTTCGTTTCGCCATTGGTTTTCGGCCACTGGCCACTGGTCAATCTGTAAGACCGACTGCGACCGCCAGTGCAGCATTGGCTGCTTTTTTAGTACCCCATGGTGATTAAACATAGTTATGGGAAACGGCCCATCTGCTTACATATCTTTTGTTCCCTACATCTTAAACATAACCAGAAGCTACTCACGGTAGCACTAAACCATCAACAGTTGATGCCCTCAAAGGGCGTGCCAAGTCACGTGGGGTGATCTTCATGTCCTGGCAGTGGATTGGAAATAGTCCATGGATTCGTTTTTTTGGGAGATCGGAAACCATGAAACCAAAAGGGTGGGTTCCTGTAAAAATGTATGCTTAAACCAATCCATTGAAACGTATATATATATATATGTACTGGCTGGTGGTATACCAACCCCTCTGAAAAATATGAGTTCGTCAGTTGGGATTATTCTTCCCAATATATGCAAAAATAAAAAAATGTTCCAAACCACCAACCAGTATATATATATGGAATTAACTCAGAAATCATTGGAAGATGTTGAAACTACCAACCATTTTTTCTGGTTAGGTCACTGCTGGCATATGCTTTATGGCTCCAACGTCCCGAACACCCCATGTGTATTGCGTGCTTCTCGAGTCTTCGTTTGTGTTTATTCTGACTGCAGAATCCGTGCGGTTCCATTTCTAGAGGTTTCATCCTTCCTTTGTAGCTTACATACCCATGCTTGGCTTTCGGAACTCCATGTCAATTCCATTTTGTGCAGGCTTCAATCGCAGTCTTATGTCCAATTCCCTCATTTTTTTCTGTGTGCATGTGCATCCTTGCATTTATATCCACTTAAGCTTGCACACACACACACACATACACACACATACATATATATATATATATAAACACATACATATATTCATATGTACATATATAGTTATAGTTATAGTTATAGTTATAGTTATAGTTATATATATATAGTTATAGTTATATAGTCATACATTTATTGATAGAAAAAAAGGGGACGTCCTGCAGCAGTTCCACCACCTCGGTGGCCGGCTCCGGCGGCTTGGAGGAAGAGAACGCCCTCAGCTGCCGATTTTTCCCCGGTCTCCCTGGCGGTGAAAAAATGGGATGGAAAAAAGGTGGGATACCCTCTGGTAAATTAACATAGACCCTGGCAGGTAGGGGTTGGAAGACTATTTCCCATTAAGAATTGGTGATTTTCAGGGTCTATGTTTATATACCAGAGGGTATGTGGGATCCTGATATTTTCTAGTGGGATATGTGGGATCCATATATTTTCTAGTGGGATATGTGGGATCCATATATTTTCTAGTGGGATATGTGGGATCCATATATTTTCTAGTGGGATATGTGGGATCCATATATTTTCTAGTGGGATATGTGGGATCCATATATTTTCTAGTGGGATATGTGGGATCCATATATTTTCTAGTGGGGTATGTGGGATCCATATATTTTCTAGTGGGATATGTGGGATCCATATATTTTCTAGTGGGATATGTGGGATCCACATATTTTCTAGTGGGATATGTGGGATCCATATATTTTCTAGTGGGATATGTGGGATCCATATATTTTCTAGTGGGATATGTGGGATCCATATATTTTCTAGTGGGATATGTGGGATCCATATATTTTCTAGTGGGATATGTGGGATCCATATATTTTCTAGTGGGATATGTGGGATCCATATATTTTCTAGTGGGATATGTGGGATCCATATATTTTCTAGTGGGATATGTGGGATCCATATATTTTCTAGTGGGATATGTGGGATCCATATATTTTCTAGTGGGATATGTGGGATCCATATATTTTCTAGTGGGATATGTGAGATCCTGATATTTTCTAGTGGGATATGTGGGATCCTGATATTTTCTAGTGGGATATGTGGGATCCTGATATTTTCTAGTGGGATATGTGGGATCCTGATATTTTCTAGTGGGATATTTGGGATCCTGATATTTTCTAGTGGGATATTTGGGATTGGGATTGAAAATCGGCTTTTTTACAGGGCTACTTATGGCCATGGGTTTAGTATCATATTAAGAAAGTGTTAATGTAATATAATATAATGTAATATAATAAAACGTAATATAACATAACATAACATAATATAATATAATATAACATCAAATAATATGATATACTATAATCTTACAATAACATATAATGTAATTTAACGTAATTTAATATCATATCAATATAACATTACATATTACTCGATGATATACTACAATATAATGAACTATAATACAATCTAATATATACAGTATTTGTATATGCATATGTATATGTGTATGTGTATCTGTATATGCATATGTATATGTGTATGTGTATCTGTATGTGTGTATGTATATATATGTGTGTGTGTCTGTCTGTCTGTCTGTTTGTGTGTGTAGCTATATACATGCATATATTATGTGCATAAAAACCACCCATTGATCTTGTAAACCTGGGCTCCCGGGGGTCAGTAGCCAGGCCATTCTTGGCTCGGCTCGTTTCGAGGCCGGGGGAGGGTTCAATCTGGCTGGGATGGCGTTACCTATAGATGTGGGGTATATATGGGGGTTTCCATAAATGGGGTTACCATGGATTACCCCATTTATGGATTTATAATGGAAAATCCTACTCAAATGGATGATTTGGGGCTACCCCTATTTGAGGAAACCGCCATATGGTCTGTTCAATCAAGATGTTTAATGATGTTTTAGCAAGAGTGGACTTCACCCTCTGATTTCGATGTTTGATCCGCCAGGCGTCCCCAAACAGGAACGAACTCCCACCAAGACTTTGCTCGCAACCGCCAAGAGTGCCTCGCTGAAAAAATAGCCGAGGCTCCAGTCACAAACTCCATGGGATCTTCCCAAATAAAAACATAGATTATACAAGGTAAATCAATGTATGTAAACATTGGAACACATGCCGCAAAAAAAATGTATTGTGAATGTATGTGTATAGTTGGTTTGATTTGTTGTTTTTGTGTTTCATTTTGCTTTAACAATGTCCTTAAAAAATCTACAATGTGCGCTTCTAGTCCGAGCATCTAGGTAAATGGGGCCACGGACAAAAAACCATCTTAACTTTTCTCAACACATTCTCACCCCGCTGCAACATGGATGGTTTGAAGCAGAAATCGTTGGGACACAGCTTCCTTTCACAACAACCCCTGCTTTTCGCAAACTTCTCAGTGAAAAATGTTGAAACGTTTTCAAAACCAAGCAACACCTTCTTCCTCGTCAGCCGGATTTTGTTTGCCCTTTCCCATGCTTCGAGCCGATTGGAGCTTTTTCTATGCCCCCTGCCCACGCTGCGCCACGACTCTCAACGCGGCGTGAGCAGGGGGCTTTGAGGAGACCCCCCAGGCCTAGCCATGCAAACTTGAGCCGAGTTGGCAAAAAAAGCGTGTCATCACTTTCCATGCTGTTGGGCTGTTCCAAGATGGAGAATGCTTGCGATGAACCGTTTAGAAACATGGTTTGGATTTGCTTGGATCCCAAAAAAAAGACCATGGCCTTTGCGTTACAACATGTTACAACCATGAAAATTGACAATCGGGACCTTCATCTCAACAGCCGTTTAATGCACGGAGCCGCATTAGTGTGCTTTATGTAGTCGGAATCAACAAGCCCAGCCATATCTTGGAGCCCATTAGTCCAGGGCCACTACCCAAATTACACAGATTTAGCAAGAAACTGAGTGACTCCATGCCATGCGCACTTCGCGATTGCATCTTTATGTATCCCAGAATGGATCTGAGGGAACATCCAATTAGTGACATCTAGTGGTGTTTTCTATGAAACCCTCGTATGTCAACACATGGTAACAAGATGCAAAAAACATCATGGGTAGTTTTCCCTGGCTCCCAGCCTCGCGGAGGCTTCATGAAGCTCACCTTTCGTGGCCCGATTTTAGAGATTTCCACTTTGCCAATGGAAAACCACCCATTTTTCATAGGAAAATCATCGGACATGGGCCATGTTCCGGAGCTATGTTAGTTTACTGGAGGACAAGCAACAAAGATTTGGATATAACAGAAATTCATGAGGCCGGAAGTTTCTTGGCATGCCGCCGAGCTTACAATCCTTGCAGTGAAGCTGGAAAATCAAGAAAAAATCAGCCGTAAAGGGCTAGTTTCCAATCATTCTATGTACAGTATACACCTGTAGTATACATGTATATATATATATATATATTTATTTATCCCATACTTCACCAGATAATTTTATATCTATATATATATATCGAGAGAGAGAGAGAGAGTTATCCCATACTTCACCAAATGCCATTGGGTTTGCCCCATTATTGGCCTTACATACACAGCATATGTTTCGCAACTGGGATACTCTCAAAACCCTTTGCATATTAACAATTTACCATTGTTGATCAATACGCACATCTCTACAACCATTGTTGACCATCAACCGTTATCTAACCCACAATAAACTCAAAGAATAAATGCAATACTACTAATTCATAATTAATGTAGGAAAATGATAAACCTCTGGATTCTTCCTTATCCTATTTTCACTCAAACTCGCTTCGGGCAATTGAAACCATTCCCAGAGCAGAATGGTCGGCCGATTCGAAGCTGACTGCTGGGTGGGTTGAATCACCCTGAAAATGTCGGGCACATAGTTGGGAATCCAGAATCGATCCCAAAGATGTGAGGCTTCAC